ATGCCTCGTCAACAGTATCAGTCCTTATCACCTTAAGAAAAGCAGTTTCCTTCTTGGCACAATGCTTGCAATCTTCCACGCATGGGCGTCTCGATAATGCATCTGCGTTGCCATGAATTCTTCCGCCGCGATGTTCGATTTCAAAGTCAAATTCCTGAAGTTGTTCCAACCATCTGGCTACTTGGCCTTCGGGATCCTTAAACTGAAGCAGCCATTTCAAAGCAGCGTGATCAGTTCTGATCAAAAATTTCCGTCCCAGTAAATACTTCTTGAAATGGTGCAGAGTTTTGACTACGGCCAGCAATTCCCTCCTGGTCACGCAATAATTCTTCTCCGGCTTGGATAGTGACTTGCTGAAGTAAGCAATAACCTTCTCCTGCTCACCATCGCGTTGTGAAAGGACACCTCCTATTCCAATATTGCTGGCATCCGTATCAACTACGAATATTCCTTTCGCGCTGGGGTATCCGAGAATTGGTGTGTTACAAAGCCGTTCTTTTAGTTCTCGAAAGGCTTGCTCACAATCCTCGTCCCAGATAAAGGCACGTTTCTCCTCTGTCAATCGATGCAAAGGCTTGGCAATGTCCGAGAATCCTTTCACAAACCGCCGATAATACGAGCACAATCCAAGAAATGCCCGAACTTGCGTTTTGTCTTTAGGTGTTGGCCATTCCTTAACAGCGGCAGTCTTGGCTGGATCAGTCTCAATTCCTCTCTCAGAAATAACATGTCCTAGATAATTCACTTCGCGCTTGAAGAAAGAGCATTTCTTTGGACTCAACTTTAAATTTGCTCCACGCAGCTTATCGAGTACCTTTTCCAATTTCCTTAGATGATCGTCAAAATCCCGTCCAACAATGATGATGTCATCGAGGTAAACTAGGCAGGTTTCGCCCAGCAGTCCCGCCAGCACCTGTTCCATCAAACGCTCAAAGGTTGCCGGTGCATTGCATAATCCAAATGGCATCACCTTAAATTGCCAGAGTCCCTTCCCAGTTGAGAATGCGGTCTTTTCCTTGTTCTTGGGATCCAAATCCACCTGCCAATAGCCGCTTTTCAGATCGAGCGTTGAAAACCATTTCATGCCACTCAGTGTGTCAAGTGTGTCATCGATTCTTGGTAACGGGTAGCTATCCTTCTTGGTTACATCATTCAATCGTCGATAGTCTACGCAAAACCTCGTTGAACCATCTTTCTTCTTGACAAGCACGACAGGTGAACACCAAGGGCTAGAAGAGGGCTCTATCACGTCATTTTTCCTCATATCGTCAATCATTTCTTCAACCTCTTTCTCACGAGCGAATGGTATACGTCTGGGCCTTTGACGAATTGGCATTGTATCACCTGTATTTATTTTATGCTTCACCAAACCAGTTCGGCCAATATCACCATCGCTTCTTGAAAACACATCAGAGAATCGAAGAAGTAAATTTCTAGCTTTCATAGTCTCCACTTTTGTCAGACTTTTGTTTTCGTCTAAGATTTTCGTTACAAAGTCTATTCCCGTACTGTCCTTCTTCACAAGATTTTCCGAGCATTTTCTTATCCAGGCCACTTCTTCCAATACGCCCACAGGCTCTCCTTCTTCAATCGTAATTTCTGAATCACTGAAGTTGAATACCGGAATGCGGTTAACATCAGATGACCCCACGACAGTTCTTGCCGGTAGCCATGAGTTTACGTGTTCCGATTTATCAATCACAGCGCACCTTCGAGGTAAACTTCCTTCCCTCCTCCTAGGTAATGCGATTGGTACGAGAGTCTGTGATTTTGGTGCAAGAACAGTTCTTCTTAAACAGCAAACTTTTCCCAGGGTTCCACCCTTCATCGGAATTTCCTCAGTTCCACATAGTAAAACTCCAGATTTTAGGTCGATGTTACACTGGTGCCCTTGCAGGAAGTCAAGTCCCAGGATGCAGTCATCCAGAATTTTGGCCACAATAACCTCATGTCGATAAACACGTTCCCCAATTTTGATTGTTACATGCAGTTTTCCACTTATCGGTATGCACTGGCCGGTAGCTGATTTCATTTGTAGGCCAACAATTGGTTTAAGGTGTTTCCTGATGTTTTGCTCGAGCAGCCGAACATTTATCACCGTCCTTGAAGCTCCAGTATCTAATGTTAGCTGACTGTTTTTCCCATTTACTTGACCGTCTATCACCAGAGTATTTCCATCGTTGGTTTGCTTGATGTAGATTGTTGGGGTTGTTCCACTACCAGCCAGCGCCCACCCCGCAGCCCTGGCTGGATTTAAGTTTCCCTGCTGGTCAGAAGTTGAGACCGCCGCGTCCTGGCGGTTCATCTTCTTCGGGCAGTCGCTCCGTATGTGCCCACGCTCTCCACATCCATAGCACATGAAATTCCGACGGCGTGGAGGTACCTGCTCCGTTGTCGTCATTTCCCGCAGACGTAAGGTACGGGAGTTGCCACACACGGCTTCCACTTCCAATGCATGGGCCAGAGCTTCTTTCATGTTCTTGTGATGGCCCAGATGAACAGCAGCTCGTACTTCGGGGTCCCGAATACCGTCAATGAACGCTTGGAGAAGCGTGCCTTCAATCATTGACGGAGTCGACCGGAAAGCTCGACGCACAAGTTACTCGATTTCCACGGACCATTGCTGTAGGCTCTCATTAGCACGCTGAGTACGCTCTTTTAATTGCGCTCTGTATACGTGCTCGAGGTGGCTGTCTCCAAAACGTGCCTCAAGTGCGTTGAGGAGGGCACTAAAGCTGAGATCCCCACTTGCGCCGATAGCTTCCAGCACTGAGAGCGCTTGATCACGGAGGGCCAGGGTGAGGGCTGACTGTGCTTCCTTCTGAGTCCAACCATAAGCCTCCATAAGTGTCTCAAACTGTAGCTTGAACGCGGTCCAGGATGTTGTTCCGTCGTAATGGGGAATCTTGAGCCCTTTCGTTGCGCTTAAGGCCGCATTTGGGGCGTCAAAAACGGCTGCAAGACGGCTTCGGCTCTTCAAAGGGCTTGGGTTTGTCACTTCCTGCTTGATTTTGGAGATCTCTTCTTCCAATCTCTCCTCTATCGCCATGACGCGATGTTCCAACTTGCCTAAACCTTCCTCCACTTCTTGTACCCGTTTGACAGCCTTTTGCAGTCCCTTCGTGAAATCTTTATGCATGTCTTCCAAGCGACGCACTTGCTCCTCTTGGCGACGAGCTTGATCTTCTTTCAGCTCCCACAGCTGTTCTGACTGACAGCGTGCTTGCTCTTCTTGGCGGCGCGCTTGCTCTTCTTGGCGGCGCGCTTGATCTTCTTTCAGCTCCCGCAGCTGTTCTGCCTGACAGCGTGCTTGCTCTTCTTGGCGGCGCGCTTGCTCTTCTTGGCGGCGCGCTTGATCTTCTTTCAGCTCCCGCAGCTGTTCTGCCATCATTTGCTGCAGCTGTAGCAGAAGATCCACCTGCACAGGCTTGGCTTCTGCATCGCTGGTTTGAGCTGCAGCACCATCTTCTCTCACACGCTGCGCTTCTGACATAGCACGGGTACTCACTCCTCTTACGTCCTGCGGCACTAGCGGCATTTTTCTCCAATCCCACTTCTGACACCAAATGTTACGTGCCTGACGTCACGTTCCTGACTATGCGGGCTTGGGTTACGGGATTGGATGAAATGAAACACTAATACCGGTTTTCAGACTTTCTATTGCACTTAAGTTACAGCGTCCACGGAGTTAAGTTATCGGCGTTCCTCTCCAGCAGAGTCCGGCCGACTGACACAACTTTGCCGTTCACGCTGACTTAACTCACTTAACTGACTGCACTTCACTATTTCACTGCACTTCACTATTTCACTCACTTTTCTTCTTTTTCACTTCTTCCTTTTCTTCCGAATCGCTTTAGACTTAGAACTCAACTGCCAGCGGTGAGCCGCAGTTCCGCTTATATACCCCCGGTCAGGTTCTAGAACATTCAATTTCGTTATTCTTTTTGATCGTCATGCCTCCAGAACCTTCCAATAATTTCGTTATTCATTTTTATTTATTCTCCTTCTCGCTCTTTAATTTTTCATTACTTTCACTCAAATATTCCAGAAAGTTCGACAAAACTTCCATCAACTAAAAAACTTCATGTTTACGGCGGGACTCGAACTCGGGGTCTCTGTGGTGTAATCCACACGCCTTACCGATTACACCAACTCGTGTTGACAATTCACGACGAAATTTACAATCTCTAGGCAACGTTTGACAACCATCCATTGACGTCATGATGTCAAAGAGTTTTCTGTCACAATATGTTAGTTGAAAACATGTAAAAACAACACAAAAAAAAACTAATTAACAAAAAAAAAATAACAAATTACTTAAGGCTATTTTCCAATACTCAGATAAATGTTATCTGAGGAATACCGTTGTTGTTGTCACTGTCTTATACAAACATTCTGACGCAACAGCATCATAATAATTCCCCAGGTAACATTTATATGTCTAACCTAACCATTGAAAAATCAGCCCGAATCAGCAGTAACAACCAGCTTTACTGGAACTGGAACAAACCTTTTAACATATAGATTTTAACGGTATAAGCGACACACAAGCATTCACATTTGAACGGATAATGCATATTATTGTATTTTTGCCTAAACATTTCGAATTTTTGGGTTTATCCACATCGACCGTTCGCTAAGCCATAACAAATAAAGATTTGAAAATATCTTTATTTGCAAAAGATTAAAAAGGTAGGTGTGCCTAGCTTGTTACAGTTATATTTATAATATTGAGGCATTATCATAAGGGGCTGAAATGGGTGATAAAATAATAATTGACGCAATAAAATATATGCCTACTAAACTTATGAGCTTAATAAATCCATATTTGAAAACGAGGTTATATACATAACACTAAGGTTCAAATTGTATTATCAGCAATTGTTTCTTTAGTGCATTTTTTTTAGTAAAAGTCACATGATGTTATCAGGAAATAAATAATATGTATTCATAAAATTATGTTGTACGATGCATATAAAAAATTCGATATAAATTGTAATATGGGTATGGTTTGAAGAAAAACAAAAACAAAACGTTACAAATAGTAAAACAATATGAAAAAACGATACATGTAAACATTAGTTATCATCGACATAACGCCGAAGAGATGTATGTTAATCCGATTTGAACTATTTTATGAAGTCCCTTGTAAAGGAATACAGGGTAATTGACATCGTGGACATCTATGGAACTGCGGATATGTTAAACTATGAACATATTGCCCGATAGATACCTGGACCTTTGAAATTTGAAAAATCTGTGGTACACTTTTGTACTTATTCTATATTTTTATTTCTTTACAGTCGAACTAAAACATCAAATAACGATCACGGAGCCAAAATTGTTCGTAACAATACCAGAATGCTACGACATCGTATCCAAGTCTTTAAAGGCAGCCAACAGTCAAGCAAAAATCGTCCTTGTTGACAATGTTAGCAAGCCCGTGCCTGATGGTGTTGCAAGATATTCAGAAGTAGCAGAATCCGGTGAAGCTGATTTTGGTCTACTCGATAAGGTGGAAAGGAAAGGAGATGATGTTGCTTGTATTCCATTTTCTAGTGGAACAACTGGTCTCCCCAAAGGTGTAGAGATAACCTATGACAATATTTTAGCTGGAATAGAAATTATGCATCAAAAAGAAAACTGTTTTCCTCACGTCGCAAATAGTAAGTTATTGATTATTTTTGCTTTAATATATTTTTATCGTTAACGCGTGCAATATTTATTGGTTTATCTTAAAGCAGGGAAATACGTTCTACTTGATATAGTAAAAACACTGAAAACTTAGCTTCGGGTATTCTTTACTTTTCAGCATTAGTATTATTTTTACTTTTAATTTTATTCTGATTTTTCACAGTGATAACTTTGTTTAAGAAATAATCTAGTACCTACATATGCATACTCTTTGTTTGCTTTATTGTTATTTATTATAATTCATTGTTGAATAGGAACTGCATAAATAATTATTATTAATTTGCATTTAAATTATAATAAAATACACCAATAGATTAACATCTTGCATCTTTTTCAAGATTTTCCATTATTATGGTACCTACTTCAGAGGGAATTAATAATTTTGCAGCCAAAAATCATCATCTTTTTAATAGAAAGATGAATACCTACAAGTAGAAATTGTTGGCATCAATAAGAAAACGCATTGAACTAAAGTCAACAAATTGGATTATAAGTATAATAAGACTATTGACCGAAAGTAATTTCAAATTGTATGCTACTTAAATCTAAGATGTTAAAGGTGAAAACCCAAAAATCTTTTAATCTTTACAGATCGCTCGTAGACCTCTTGTCTGCATCATTGAGTTAGTCCATTACCAAATTCATTTCTATTTTCAGGTGATTTCCAAGATATTCTTCCCGCATTCCTGCCATTCTTCCACATTTATGGACTTGTGATTGGTCTAATGGGCCATCTGTCTAAGGGCTGCAAACTGGTTACAATGGCTAAATTCTCAGCGAGTATGTATTTGGACATTTTGAAGACACAGAAAACTACGCTGCTGTATATCGTTCCTCCTGTTGGTGAGTACCGATTGGTTCCGTTATATGTACATCATCATCAATGTTAAACTATAGACCTCTTATAAATATACGAGGTCTTCCACAATCTGCAATTAGAAGGTGGGTTGGAGATCGCAGTTTAGTACAAGTTCAGGTTTTGTTTGGGGGCGTTCCTTACGGCCTCTGCCAAATGATTTGTACCTAAGACACGTTTTATAACATCCACAGGGTCTTTCTCCTCTTCTTCATTCTCAAGGTTAGGTCTTTTGTGGTGTTTCAGAGGATTTGGTGTTGATTGATGTTTTTTTCTTTTTTTTTCTAGCGATACTCTTGGGCAAGCACCCTGATGTGAATGAAGCTCATTACCGTTCTGTCCGACACATCATTTGTGGTGCTGCACCGTTAGCCGCATCTGATGTTGAAGCTATTTTACAAAAGAGTAAAGTAAGTATTTTAATCGATTCCTTAAATTTATAATTTAAGATTTCTATGTTTTTTTAGTTTGTTAAAATTTGCTTGGAAAGCTGTTGAAAAAAGTAATCATGCCGATTTCCAAGATGTTAGACATTAGATTAAATGAGCTGTAAAACACTTCGTAATGTAACATCACAAGAATCGTATTAAACTGAAACATAATCACACCAACCAGTTTCTAGTGCACACAGTATCTTCTAATATTGTTAGTTATTTAATAATTTTATTATATAACTCAAGCTCATATTCATCACCTTCAATGTCTAGCCTATTAATATTAATATTGTTCAAAATTTTTAGTAAAAGGCATCTACCCAATCTCTCTATCCCATTAGCTATTGCTCTGTTGGTAATCCTCTCTTTAGTGCATTGACCCAATGTTATTTCTTTTGCGACATTGGTCCTATATCTTATCTTCTACCCTTTAACCATTGTATTGTTATCGATATAGTCATTTTTAAGCCACTTACGACTATATCCACTTAAGTTATAATTTTATTACTTACCTTCATTAATGTGGTAAGATTAGATAATAAAAACATGTTTTTGGACATAGCTTGACCAAAAACAATCATGTTTATCTACTCTTGTCAGTGACTTACATACTATCTTTGAAAATTTAGACTTTGACTTGAAATTTAATCTTTGGATTTAGGCTGTATCCTTGAATATCATACGCATTCTCTGTCCATAGAAATGCTTACTTAAAATTGTCGTGTTCAATCTATGAACTCAGTGATGATTGATAGAAGAAACAATGTCTTAAATACCAATGTACGTTGACCCAGTTATTTAAATCAAGATCCATCAACTTTAACTGATCAGATGTGCCTATTACCGTAATGATTTAGGGCAATGGGTTCGTCCTTGTCCTGAAGACCATGATATGTCGTTTTAGAAACTACTTTTTTATGTGATAGGATGAGAAACGAGCAGACGGATTACCTGATGGTAAGCAAACAGCGCCGTCCATGAACACCCGTGACTCCAAAGGAGTTACGAGTGCGTTGCCTAACTTTTGGGGATTAGGGATTTGTAGATTTAAGGATTGGGGAAGAGGAAGTATTGGACCTCCGGAAGCCTCACTCACAAGGCGAAAAACACCACTGTGGTTGTTCCAAGCCGATTTTCTGTGAAGCCGTAGTATCACTCTGGTGGAGCCGACTCATTCGTGCCGAAGCATGGCTCTCTCACACTTAGCTATTACACATATCTCTTTTGCGTACCATTCAAGCTTCATCTTTTAATTCCAGCGACCAATTGAGTTCAACCAGGGCTTCGGAATGACGGAGACCACGTCGCTGGGTACATCCACCTTCAAGGGAACGAAGAATGTGGACTTCAACGCTTGTGGAGTCCCCATGGCGAGTGTACAGCTGATGTTTGCTGATCCTCTTACTGGAAAACCAGTACCTGTTGGCCAAGTAAGTAGCAGATATGTACAATGCACATGGATTGTTATTGAAATTTCTTAATGTCCTATTACGTCTAATAAGAATACGTAACAACATGTTAAAGATTCTTGGCTTTTCATATCATTTATAAAACCCGGTTACAAATATTTCTCATGAAATTCCTCATTATTCAAGCAAAGATTTGTTGATTAACATTAACATCTAAGTACTTTTTCTTCAAGAAATTTAAAATTGTTTAGACTACTTACACTCAGTTGGACAAATTGGTCCAAACTTGGTACTGTGCTGTTTGTCAGGACGAAAAAAATCGGAAGAAAAAATAACTAAAGTATCTTTTATTTTTAGTCTGGAGAAATGTACATAAAGAGTCCTACAGTGATGAAGGCATATCACAAAAACCCCAAGGCGACAGAAGAAACGATGACTAAAGACGGTTTCTTTAAAACTGGAGATATGGGTTACTTCAAACCTGGCGTCGGATTATTTATTACTGATAGGATAAAGGAACTGATTAAGGTAAGGTTCTCTTTAATGTTTCCTTATCTTGAGTTTATTGGTTTAACAATTTATGGTTTAAACTACATTGTATTGACGCTGGTATCAGTATTATGTTTCACGTTATGTTTTTCGAGGAGGGGTACAACCTAATAACATAAGCAAATACAGTCAGTTACTTTCGTCATCATCAACCTATAATTGCCCATTGCTGAGCAAAGGCCTCTTATCGCAAGAAGAAGGAACGAGCGTTAATCAACACGCTTGCACAAGGATCCGCCTTGATGATTTCATACTTCAAAATTAGAAATACCCCTCATAATGTTTTCCTTCACTGCATATATCTATTTAGGCACCACCTTAGAAAGTATATACAACTGGCCAAAAAGTTACATTGCTATCGAAATCGCGTCCTCATGCATGAGAAGCGAACGCCTTAACCTTCGAACCACCTTGACATATACAGGACTAGTCATACATCCATGGAAAGACGATCTCACTCACTACACTCCTTTTAATTTTCAGGTAAAAGGCATGCAAGTAGCGCCAGCTGAACTCGAGAGTCTCTTACGAACACATCCAGCAGTTCAAGATGCAGCTGTCATCGGTGTACCTCATGAATTCTACGGTGAAGCGCCAAAAGCGTTCATCATCAGAAAGAATGGTCTTAAGATCACAGAAGAAGAGCTACAGGACTTCGTTGCAAGTAAAGTAGCTGTGTACAAAAAGATTGAAGAAGTCATGTTTGTAGATGAAATCCCCAAAACTGCGTCGGGTAAGATTTTAAGGAAAGAATTGAAGAAAATGTACGCGTAGTAGTAGAAAACGTTGCTAACTTTGATGCTTCTGGGGTATTGTTTGAACCAGATCTAGATTCGCTTTGCAGAAAAGATATAGAAGGCGGAGACTACCTGGTAAGAGTAGGTTTGTTTGGAATTCTAAGGGCAAAAATGTTCTCAGAAAAACAAATCTGTTTACTGAGAAAAATAAAAGACTTGCGGGATTTCTTTTAGGTGAAAAAAATCACAAGCAAGTTAATGAATTTGTCTTTTGCAAAGATAATATCCAAGTTTTAGGTTTGAACTACATCCAAAAGTAGAAAAGTTAGCAATACCTCAAGTGCCTTAACGTATGTTTTAGAAAATGGGAAGTTTTCTGGTTACTATGTAATTGTTAGTTACGTGCTAGGTCGGGATTATTCAAATACCTGCCATATAGTCTTGTATATAAAAACCAAATTTCTTTATCCTAATCGTTGTATATTTTCAGTTGTTGCTAAGCAAAACTGACTTCTATTACCTTTATCATTATGACTGGTGTTTGAATAATCTTCTGTTGTAAATAATTTGAAGTAATGACGGTTTAATTGCTAGGAGCTTATTTTGTTGGTTAGGTAAAGGAGTGCCTTTGAACTATTCACGGAACTATATACAATGATGCTAATTCTGTTTTTCTTATGAAAATGTTCAAAACTATAAATAACGGACAAATCTGTTTCAAAATCCTTAAGGCCCTCCCAAACTAAATAAAATACTATTTATTAAATAATTGTCGTCATAACAGTAACTTCCGAGTCTGGGTGTGATGTGTATGTGAAATTATAAGTGTTTAAACGCACTCACGACACAAGGGAAGATCTTCATCATCATCATCATCAGCCTGTTGTCGTCCACTGCTGGACATAGGCCTCCCCAATTGCACGCCACTGAGCTCGATGTTCAGCTCTTCTCATCCAACCACTGCCAGCCACCCTGCGGATGTCGTCAGTCCACCTAGCTGGAGGGCGCCCTACACTACGTTTGCCTAGACGTGGTCTCCACTCTAGAACACGTTTACTCCATCGGTCATCGGTTCTTCGACAGATGTGACCTGCCCACTGCCACTTAAGTTTGCTAATCCTTTGGGCTATGTCGATAACCTTAGTTCTCTGTCGGATCACCTCGTTTCGAATACGATCCTTCAGAGAGACTCCAAGCATAGCCCTATCCATAGCTCGCTGAGCGACTTTAAATTGGTGGATCAGTCGCACTGTAAGTGTCCACGTCTCGGCTCCGTATGTCATCACTGGTAGGACGCACTCATTGAAGACTTTTGTCTTCAGGCTTTGCGGTATCTTTGACGAGAATACCCGACTGAGTTTCCTATACGCTGCCCAGCCAAGCTGTATCCTCCTACGAGCCTCCCTCTCGAAGTTGTTTCTACCGAACTGGATCGTTTGCCCGAGGTAGACGTACTCTTGAACAACCTCGAGAGGAGATCCATTGATGGTGATCGGCTCCGGGAGAACATGTTCATTGAACATGACCTTCGTTTTTTGTAGGTTCATCCGGAGTCCGATGCGAGCAGAGGAATCAGCCAGGCTGTTCAGCATATATTGTAAGTCCTGCACGGTTTCAGCCACGATTACAATGTCATCTGCAAATCTCAAGTGTGAGAGATACTTGCCGTTAATATTTAGGCCCCGGCCTTTCCAGCGCAGCGTCTTGAACATATCCTCCAAAGCATTAGTAAACAGTTTGGGGGAAATAACGTCCCCCTGTCTTACGCCCCGATGCAGGTGGATAGGTTCAGACTGCTGGTTCTGTACTTGAACGACCATAGTGGCAGCATCATATAGATCTCTCAACACTTGAACATACCGCCAGTCGACTTGGCACCGTTGCAAGGACTCCAGAACAGCCCAGGTTTCGACAGTATCAAAGGCTTTCTCGTAGTCCACAAACGCCAGGCATAAGGGCAGATTATACTCTTCGGTTTTCTGTACAATCTGCCTCACTGTATGTATGTGGTCCACGGTACCATATCCCCCTCGGAACCCGGCCTGCTCGGGGGCTGAAACTCGTCGAGTCTTCGCGCGAGACGATTTGTTATGACCCTGGAAAACAGCTTATAGACGTGGCTCAGAAGAGAAATAGGTCGGTAGTTCTTCAGAAGGGTTTTGTCTCCCTTTTTAAAGAACATAATGACGACACTTTTGCCCCACGCCCTTGGAGTTCTCCCCGAGAATAGAACGGAATCAAACAAGCGTTTAAGTCGCTCAAGCACTGGCTTTCCACCGGCCTTTAGGAGCTCCGTTGTAATTCCATCCTCTCCGGGGGCTTTTCCATTTTTAAGCTGCTTCAAAGCCAACGCAATCTCGTCTTGGCTGATCTCTGGCATGTCTTCGGTAAAGTGGCGGATAAGTGTGGCCCTAGGATCCCCCGAGTCTCGATATGGACGCGGTGCTTTTGAGGTGTACAGATCACCGTAGAAGCGCCGAACCTCCTCGAGAATTTCCGGCTTAGAAGAGACGATATTACCATCCGGTGTGGTCAACTTCGTCAGATGGCTTCGATTTAATTGCTGGCTGAAGACTTTTGACCCCCGGTTTCGCTCAATCGCTTCTTTTATAGGGAAGATCTTAGTGTGGGGCAACGTGTTTTTCGGGTCCATCGGCCGTCCGTCCTTCGAGCAACGTGGCCTGCCCATTGCCACTTTAGCCCGCAGATTTTACGAGCTATGTCGGTGACTTTGGTTCTTTGTCGAATTTCCACATTTCGGATCGGTAGCGTAAAGAGACCCCGAGCACAGCCCTTTCTGTTGCGCGCTGAGCGACCTGAGTTTTTCAAGAAGGACAGAATTTAGTGACCACTTCTCTGTATTATATGTCATCACGGGCAACACGCACTGGTAAAACATCCTGGTCTTCAGGCACTGTGGGATTTTCGATGAGAAGACATCATGTAACTTCCCAAACAGGCCCATCTGAGTTGGATTACATTTATTTATCAGGTCAAAATAATTTTGTTCGATACCAGAATTAGCACCATTCAGTTCGCTGTCCACTGTCGCATTGTTATCGCATTTAAGTTGTTAAAGTTTTGGAGGATTTAGTTTAATAACAATAGTAGTAATTTCTATAATGGAAGGTTTTAAAAACATTGGGAGTTTGGGATATAAACCTCGAATAACTAGTGGTTCATAACGAAGTCTATCTAGATTCTGAATAATCTGGTTACCATTTTCTTCTAGGTTGAACCGAAAGATTATGATTTTAGAAAAATTAAATGTACTTTGACCTTTTATGTAACTTTGAAGTTTTTGAACCGTTTGTTCCATTCTTACTCGGATTTCTTTTTATTTGTAATTTTGATCTCTGTTCCGAAAAGACATTCAAACTTTTTCGTGTCGTTAAAACACTTTTCTATCATTTTTTGGTTGTTATTTCGATTGCAAAAATTATAATATTTACATTATCGTCAAAAAATGTTCAATCAACGTAAACATTACAAAATCTATGTATGTATGTACTATAAGAGAATCGTTTTTATATTTTACTTAGTTTTTAGAAATAAATTAATTTTATAAAAAATAATTGTTGTGATTTTATTTTAACGCCTGTTTCTATTCCAGTAGGTATCCCTCTTTGGAAGCAGAAGGTGGCGCTAGTGAGCCTTTAGATCGCTTAAAATTTTACTAGGAAGCAAAAACTGATTGATCAACTATTTGAAGATAAAAATGTAATGTAATGTGTAACTGCATTATACGAAGTTGTTTAGCCGACTCAAATCATAATTTGTCACTTTTTATACTTGTCTTGTCGGACTTGTCGGACTTTTAAAATCACACGACGAAACGAAATATAAGCATTGTTTCACGTCATTTTACTGTAAGGCTTTGGTAATACTCCGTTTCAGTACCTACATTTATACATAAGCAGGGCTTTTCCCGCACTTAATTAATTAGCTCCACATAATCTCGCCTTTTTATACTTTACACTTTATTACATTCTTCATTTCAATTTTTTATTTCTTTTGTGATAGGTCGGAAAGCGAACTAATGTATTTCCTGATGGTAAGCAATCAAAGTCATCCATTTTCACCCGCAACACTGGAACAGTTACGGGTGGTTTGTCGGCCTTTTTTTATTAGGATTCAGAAGATTTAGGAATTAGGGAGGAATGGAGAAAGGGTAATTATCGGGATTGGGATATACAACGCTGTGATTGTTTTACGCCGATTTTCTGTGAGGCCATGGTATGACTAGTCGAGCGGACCCTTACGTGCCGAATGATGGCTCTCTCACACGTATTTAATAAACCAAGAAAGTAAAAATATACTCGGAATTAGCCAATCTTTCGGGATTTTTATTTACATACATACTAGCAGCTCGCCCCTGCTTCGCACGGGTTTCATCATCTCGCTTACGATGAAAGGGTCTCTACTATTACCCAACTCGCTCCTTTAATTTTCTAAAATTTTCTTTCATTAGAACCTTCTCCTGGCTATAACACAAAAACAAAAAAAGATTCAGTAGAATTGGTCCAGGCGTTGTTGAGTTATGCGCTTACCAACACATTTTGCGATCCATTTTTATATATAAAGATATAGATTATAATAAAATCACACTCATAGGTACCAGCCTTGTTATTGATTTGAATAAATTTACGATGAATTAACCGGAGGTAAGTATAAACCACGGGTATAAACTTTGTTTACGCTATAATTATAATTTTATAAGTACACTGAACTTAAGACTTAATACTTACGTCATAGAGATTACATTACCTACTTACTTTCGGCGGTATTTAGTGATAAAATTTTGTAAACAAGTGCACTGGTGTCCATGATAAATATATTTTTGTCAGTATGGTTGTCGGTAGGTATCTATAGAGAGTGGAACACCAAGTTTTTGTATCTACTAAAGATTACATATCCTTTGATGTCACTCGATGACTCTATTTGTTCGAACAAATAAAAAAAATATATTAATCGAACTGATTGCTCATCGTCACTCCTAAAATAACATATTGTCACGATTTTGTTCTATTTTGGACATTCCCGTTATAAAATTCTTAATACTTCAAAACTACTTTGGTTTTCACTTTGGATTAAATAAACTTATTATTATCATTTCTCTTACATTATTTAACAAGCATGAACGTAAATTTTGTTGCATGCAGTGCCATCTGTCGCTATTGAATAAAACCTTGTTCTTATATAAATAAAAAATAACCACCAGATGTCGCTAGTAAGGAATCTGCAATAAAATAATGTGAACGCAAAACATTTTCACATTTTTTTAAATCGATTAGTATTAATATTACGATTGAGTCGATGACTGGGTACCTTACATAATTATCTACCACTCATTTTATACATTTTTCAAGTGTGGGAGAGCCACGCTTTGACACGAATGGTCCGTCAATTCAAGTGATCCTCGGTCTCCAGAAAAACCGGCACACCGTGAAACCGTAAAACACCGCTTGCATGCTGTTCCGCTGTGCGAATATAGTTACCCAAGGCCCAACCTTCTGATAGGACAAAATTATATGTATTATTGTGTCCCTGATAAGTTCACATTTTCTCCAGTTTTCTTTCCATAATATTTATCACGGTACAATGAGTACAAACTCCAATACTTAATGGTACCTATTTACGTATGTCATAATTTGAGTAAATAAATTGCAAACGGCAGGGATTATATAGCAAATGGATGACTAACGTTCTGTCAACAAATATTGCGTAACTTTATATTATTGCTAAATATTATAATAGAGTTATCTATAAATTTTACTTGTGTCTATAGTTTTTTTTTATTTAAATAATGCATAAGGCTAATAGACACACTTGTTTTTCTGTACATACAACATTTAGCTAAAACTATTGCCTAAAAATACAGACAGTATTGTTAGCTGGGAATCACTTGACACTTGACTTACTTCCTCGAACAATTGGGATTATAATATCTACGATTTTAAGAGTTATAGAAAAAATACTCGTCATATTAAATGAAAATGTTGGGATTGTTGGGACATTACGGCATTCCATTCGGTCATACTCAATGACCTACTATCGCTAACGCTAAAGTAGCTGACTTCACCCACGTAGGCATTCATACGCGGCCAACATCGTGCGTAAACAGACTATTGAGACACACACACACAACAACATACTGCACCGGTTTCCAAACACAGACACAGTGTTAAGCGTATCTTGTATTATTTACTTTACAAAGTCGACTGTACAAATTAATTCAAGATATAAATATTATAGAGATAAAAACACTAGTTTTACAAACAGGTGATCTGAGGATGTTTTTTAACATGTTTATGGTAACAAAATGTTGTCCTTATTATTTCGCTGTTGGTACCAGTAAATACAAAGGTTGATCTATACTAATATTATAAACAGGTAAAATTTGTAAATTGGTATGTAGGGGGTAATCTTTGGAACCGCTGGTCGGATTTCCAAAATTCTTTCACTGATAGATAGTTACAATGTTCCTGATTGCTATAGGCTATAAAACATCACGCTAAGATTAAAGAGAGTAGCTAGTTTTTAATATTTTTATCCAAATATATCTACAATATTCTCTTTAGATCGTCCACCTCATTCAAATGCTCATTGACTTTCTGCGCTTTCTTCTTGAGCTTTCCTATAACTAGACCAGAAATTAAAAACTTATGTTCCTTACCTAAACAGTTAGATATTTCTATTATATTAAATAAATGGCTATGACTCATATGTGACTATATACCTATCCCATATTTTGTGTTTCTAAACAAAATTTAGTCCACTTACTCCGTCAGTTTCTCTTAAATGACTTACAGAAAAAAGTTTCTCAAACTTGCACATTTTTATTTTTTTTAATTTTGTATTGTATTGTAATTATTACTAGCTTCTGTCACAGCGGGTTTTACCGGGCTACCCCGATGAAAGGTAGCTCATAATTATGTTTTTCTAACTATGGATCTGCCGGGATCTCTGCCTGGAGCAGAAGAAGAAGCGGGATGTTTTTAGTCAGTCATAGAGCATAATAAAATATTGGGTTGAAGAGCCCTCTTAGGGCTTTTTAACCCTATTTGAACACGATCGCCATCTGGATCTTGGAACCAGACGTATCGCTCTCAATCGCAAAAAAGACTACAGGGTCTATCTATAGGTACTATATTTACATATTTAAATGTGGGAGAGCCAAGCTTCGAGGTTATCTCGATCGGAGTGATACCACGGCCTCACAGAAAACCGTCGTTAAGTAACTACAGCGTTGTGTTGTGTGTGTCCGTAAATATCCAAAACCCTTATCCCTAGTAGGTCGGCAATGCACTCGTAACTCCTTTGGTTCCTTTGGTGTTGCGGGTTTCCATGGGTGGCGCTGTTTGCTTGCCATCAAAAACATGTATTATACAACCAAACTTTCGCGTTTAAAAAATAATAGGATTGTTTATTCCTCTCGAACTACGTCTGTTCAATTTTGTCTGTCTAATAATCTTGATGGAACTCAACAAGCAGCCTTAACTCAATTGTAACGTAAGCGTGACATGGTCCGAATTAACGGAGCGTACGGTGGACATATCAGTTCTTAACCCGCTTGCACAAATGGCTGTCAATGTATGAATTAATTTATCAAACACCATGCGGTCGCGCTTTTATCTATTTTTGACGATTTTAACTCTTACTGACTAAAAATCCCCCCGTTCCTTCTCCTGCTTTAGGCCGAGGCCGTGGTGAACCATTGCGCTTATCCCGCAACTCCGGCTGAACATCAGCCTTATAGTTTCTGTAATGATCTATGGGATCTTTGAAGCGCGCGCGAATCGCTAGTCGCCCGTACGCGTGATTTTGATGAAAAATAAATTGATTTTGATTTTGAACTTAAGAAACTTTCCTTCACCGTATGTCAGTGGTATCTAAATAATCTTAGACAGTAAGTACATATAATTATAAAAAAGCCACATCATACTTGACAAGTTTCGAACCCTCTCACCCTCGTGCATGAGAAACAGGCGCGTCAATCTACAGGTCAAGCACGATACAACACGATTTAATAATAATTATTTACTTGGTATTTCCTTAATAAAGTGTATTTGTATATCAAATATAAATATGTACTATTATAACAAACAATAACAGCTTTTATCGCCAGTCGCTATCCGCTTAAATCTTTATCTGGATTTCAAGATATAGATAAACAATTACATTCAGAAAAACTGCACAATTTTTAGCCTTGCAACTCTGACGGGCTTGTACCAATAAATGCATTGTTTGTGTAATATATCTAGTTAGATAGCTACCGATAAATTCACTGTTTTTGATTAAAACCTCGATACTCGATAGCTCTTTGTTAGCGGGTACATACATAACATCTATTTTGAATTTAGTTGCCCGCGCGATTCCGTCGCGGTCGGTCGCCTCATTCACTGCAACGTATTTTCTCCAATTTAAACATTTGTTTACAACAATCTTGTGCGTGATTGTGGTTATTTGAATAGTGATTATATATGTTTTAATTAGAAACCATTTTACGTAAGTAGTTTTATGTAGATTCGTTTTAAAATTGATGTTGTTTTTAACTTTTTGACCGCTACGCTGAATGACTTAGGTTCATCCAGTAACCTAACTAGGTATAATAGTCTAAACATAGGATTTTATCGTCATATGTCATTGGTAATGAATGACAAATTGATAACTCCATGATGTATTGCGTCCGTCCGCAATGCAAAGGTTTTGAACTTTGACTCTAGACATTGATTACAATTTCACCCATTGTTTCCAATGGCAAATTATAGTAACAAAAGTATAATTATGATTAAAAAGTACGTAGTATTATGATCGTGGGTAGCTTTATTAATTTTTGGACGCACTATTCCTGGTTAGACCTACCAAAATACCGGTGTAATTTTGGTAGTAAAATGCCCAAGTCATAGTCAGGTGCCGGCGTTAATTTTTTACAATTTTACATCGGATTTAAAATTTTCTATTGGTCTAAAAAAGGTCCTAATGTATACCAATTTAAAGTATCATAATTTATTGTGGGTAGACCGGAAAGCAGGCATCAAAATTTGATACGAAAATAAAATGCACCGATATATCTCTATTTTATCTACGTATACCTAATATAAAAAAGAGATACATACATTTCTAGTATTACTGGCTAATAGTTAGGTAAGTATTTGCATTCGCTAAGTTATCTTTTTTCTTAATATAACTTTTATTTTTTGGCCTTGTAAGTGAGACGTGTTTGTTTCAATGAATTGGTCAGTGGGTCATCTTAGGATATCGAAACTAAATAACCGACTGCAAAATGAGTACTTTAATGGGATAAATGGCAAACAAGACATTGGCATTCGTGCAACCAATCAGTTAGGACTTTAGGAGGTAGTGTGTTGACTGTCTTATGGGGTTAAGGGATTTGAGGGTTGGAAAATTAGGAAGAGATTGGGAAGGGACTGTGCATGTGGCCGCACTCACACCGCACACGTCGGTTGTCTTGGCCTTGGTATCACTCAAGCAACGACCATTTGTTTTTTTTATTAGCGTTCTATTTACGAAATTTGAAAAGCATTAGCAGCCTGCAACTGTCGTTCTATTTTCAAGACTCCATTAGAGGGGTCCCTCTCTAATGGAGTCTTGAAAATAGATATAATATTCTAAACCAATTTTTTGCACTAGATATTTACCTAAAAGTAGTCAAGTTATCATCTACCCATTTCCCTACCTAAAGTCATCAAATCCTATTCAGCTATTCAGAAGTTATAGCAAAGTAAACAAACAAATTCACTTTCTATTTATCTATTAATTTTTCCATGCACGATCGTTGGCTGCGTATGTGTTGTGAAGTGACATACCAAACATAGCTACGTTAGGCCATTGACCTACAAATGGCGTTCCATGATTATCTGTGAAATATTTTTAATCTGTGTTTTGTGTTTAATATTTATATACCTAATGAAGTCGGTTAAAAACCCGAGTGTAATCTACTAATAGTCTTGACTAATACTAATGAAGAATAAGTGTTGCATTACTTTTCGTCTCTGTTTAATTATTTTTTACGATTCCAAAATTACTTAGCACCTTCTTTTGGAGGGTAGACGACTTGTCTCAATAACGGTGTGTTTCACAAAAATTAGCTTGTAATTCGTATAAAAAATACGTCGAATTTGAAATCTATCTATGTACCTACCAAGCATTGGTCGGCTCGACCAGATTTATAATACGAAAAACCGCCGTGAAACCACCACAGCGTTGTGTTTCGGCGTACGAGTGACGTTATCAGAGGACCAATCCCTCCAAAAGTCCTAAATCTCCAAAACCCTAATCCCCAAAATGCCACACTACAAAACCAACGATCAACGATGGAAAATAAATGAGAAATAGTAGAGATATCATAGAACGTTCTTCGGCAGGAGCTTGAATCTAGATTCTTATTGGCCGAAAGTTGCAAACGAAAATTTTATTATTATTCATAATGAATTTTATTTTAGAAACATAGGCCGTGACATTATTAGATATGTTTTGCAAACATAATGTAACAAAGGTTTAAAATATTATGAAACTCTAACAGAACATTGGACATTCTCATATAAATAAAAACTGGTTCATCACAACTAGGTACTCAAACTGTCAAATTAGGTAGTAAAATGTAACTTAAAATAGTTTGAATGATATATATTTTTTAAATATTTTGTTGTACTGAACAGACTTAATAAAATAAAGGTAATTTAACTAATTTAAGTTGGCAAAAACAGTAAAAAAAAATCAGATGTTAAGAACCTTTTTTCAAATTTTAATTTAAGTACAACAATATTCCTAATTTATATTTAATTCCTTACCGTCATGGTGGCCCGGAGGTTAGGGAGCCCGCTTCTCATGCATGAGGGTGTAGGTTCGAAACCTGGCAAGTACCAATGTGACTTTTCCGAGTTATATGTACTTTCTATGATTATTTAGACACCACTGACATACGGTGAAGGTAAACATCGTGAGGAAACCTGAACTTATAATTTCTAATTATAAGTTTGAAATCGCCAACCCGCATTGAGCAAGCGTGGTGATTAATGCTCTAACCTTCTCCGTATGAGAAGAGGCCTTTGCTTAGCAGTGGGCACTTATAGGCTGATGATGACGAACATTCCTAATGTTAGTATGCTTCTAGAAATATAATAAATCATACGTAAATAGGTACTGGTTATCTCAAGTAGCTTTTTTTTTTGTGAGGGGAAAATCAGCAAGTAACTTCTCGCGCCCAGGGCCGGGCGAGAGGGAGTGTCAAACTCCTACTGACTAAAATCCATCCCGTTCCTTCTCCTGCTCCGGACTGAATCTGCGGTATCTTATGGCGCTTGCTTCCTATACCCGGCTGAACATCAGCCCCATCTACGGTGAGAAACAGAAGCCTGAAGACAGAACAGAAAGGCTTCGTTGTTTTTCCTTGAATGAGCTCTGCTTACCGCTAGTTATGGTAATTGAAACATCGTTGACATCAGCTAGCCAATTAACCATCAGCATTATGGTTCAAAGGTTCGACTAGGGATCAACCAGAGATACGCTGACTTATAAGATTAGATTCAGAAAATTGTTGTAGTGTCATAAAATTGATTCATATATCAATTTGATGGAGAGCCATGCTACGGTACGAGTGGGACGGGAGTAATTACCACGGCCTCACAGAAAACCGTCGTGAAACGACCACAGCGTTGTGTGCCGCTGCATGAGTGACGTTACCGGAGACCCAATCCTTCTTCCCCTCTCTCAAACCCTAAATCTCAGAAAATCTAATCCCCAAAACACCGGCAATGTACTTGTAACTAAAGTGATGTTGCGAGCATCCGCAAGCGAGGCCGATTGCTTACCATCAGCTAATCCGTCGACTCATATCCTATAAATAACACCAAAAATAAAATACATTGAGCATCCGAAGCTTCCATAAATCACGTTAGACAAAAAAAACATTATTATTATTGTTGCAAAATCATTAAAATTATTAAAATGAAATACTATAGAATTAATAATAATTACTACATCCGATTAATGGTTTGAAAAAATCTCTTTATCAAAGTCGACAATAGGAACGTAACTGGCGAAAAATCTTTGCAAATCAGTTTTTATGCCTGTAATTTCAAAGAACATCTTTTGTTAAATATATGTATGTTAATAAATTACTTTCAAAATAAATTGACCTTGTCTTTGCGTCTGAGTGTTTTCTTGTTTGACGTTCTTTGTTCATTTAATGCATTTATTTATAGGCTTGCATCTTCTGTACTTATAAGTATGATAAAAATGTTATTCACGCATTTGTTTTGTATGGCACATGAATAATGAATATGTTATTTTAATTTTAATTGTCTTGTTTTAACCATGCTATGTATGTATGTAGGTGTGTAGATTACCCGTATCGATGGCGAATTAAAAGAAAATATATTGGATATAGATTGTCTTAAAAATTATATGATAGATATAAAAAGAGACATAATTTATAGATAATAGGTATCGCTAGAACATATAGTATAACAGTGAAACCAATCTAAAATAGTAAAAGAGCTAGATATAACTCTGGATTTTTCCAAATAATTCGTGGGCATTATCAATTATCCAGTCTTACCCAGTTTTTCATTGCATTTTGAGTGATTTTCTTGCGGAATTTCAACCTTTTTTGTATAGGTTGGCAAGCCAGCTGATGGAGCTCCTGATGGTAAGCTATCGGCGTCACCCATTGTCACCCGCTTCTTGGGGGTTAGGATAGGTCAGGATTGTGAATAAGGAGCGGGGAAGGATTGGATTGCCCCTCCGGCAACCTTAATCACATGCAAGCGAACATGGTTTCACACTGTATTATGTAAGGCCTTTATCAAAGTCTTCACCTACATAACAATGTCTAGCTACTCTCGTGCGATTTTACCCGCTCGGCTCCATTTGATCGTAGCGTAATGTTCTATAGCCTATAATAGCCTTCCTCGATAAATAGACTAACAAACACAAAAATCCAGTAGTTCCGGAGATAAGTGCATTCAAACAAACAAAAGCTTTATAAAATTAAGTATACATTAATTGAATAATTTATTGGTTATTGATTAACGTTTAATTTTCCTAGCGTGGTTAAAAAAACCGGTTTGTTTGGTTCATGTTATTTACTAACATGTGAATTGTCTGTTGCCTTATACTCGTACCATAAAAACACACTTGAATACAACAGTCTATTTATAGAAGCAACTGGTCATACCCATCTGCTAAACGGACACAGTGCAGTACCTATATGCAAAAATGTAGATACATAAATACGTACTGCGGTTTACGACTTGAATGATGTACAGATCTATATTCACGACGATGACGATTCTATCGTGATGATGATAGTTTCGTTCAAGAATGCTTCTTGATTATTGCCTGTTTCCGTTTTCCTTCCCGTAAAGACCAGGAGGACTGTTCTACTAGTTAATTGGCTAGTAGGTCCTTTTCGACTTTCTGTACTTTATGAGGATTATAGTTCTTATATAAAATCGGCAGTTTAGTTTAAAAAAAACTGACATACAGGAGGAGCTGGACCCACCGACTATTATATCTTTCTAAAGCATAAATAAAAGTTCATTGTTTGACATAAGTCTTCAATAGCGCGTCAGAGCACACGATTTCCTACTTTTTGCATCAAACTACCCTCGGTAATCTTCTCTTGGTCATCGATAGTCAATCTATCTACCGAGTCCACTAGGCCAAGAAGACTATCAAAGAGACGCCATGTTCCATCCGTTTTTTTATGGAAGTAACTGTCTGAAAGAAACTCCGAGGACAGTTACTTCGATAAAAATGGTTAGATAATAAACCTAATGTTTCATGTCATTACCGATTTATCATTTGATATTATCGAAAACAAAACAGAAAAACAAACAGTTTCATTAAAATAACATTACTTGGACAAATCGTAGCTTGGTTAGTTTTTTTTCTTTTATTTCCTTTTTAAATTTATTTCATCGTCTTAGTGTGTAGTAAATAGGTAGTGATTACCTACATTTTTGACGATTTGACGTTCCGTTCTTTAAAAATTGTATTTTTTTTAAAGTTATAAACTAATAATACTAAAAATTAATAAATCCTATTATAAATAATCACTTTTTTATATTTTTTGCGCAAATATTACACCAAGAAGTCGTATCACTTTTTTTATGGGGCGTCGTTTGCAAATGCAAAAGAAGAAGACTAAAAGTGCAAGAGAAGAAATCTTCTCTTGCACTTTTAGTCATCAAATGACTTCTCAGTTTCGCCCAGGGCCGGGCGGGAGGGAGTGTCAGACTCTTATTGACGACGGAAACGGAAGAAGGGTTTTTAACCCTTCTTCCTTCTCCAGCTCTGGGCCGAGGTCGCGGTGCCACATTGTGCTTAACCCGCAACCCCGGCTGTTTTTCTCTTGCTCTGGGTGAGGCGAGAAGTTGTGTCTGTTGTTGTATCACTCTTATTGACTACTATCCACTCCGGGACAAGCCATTGATATCGTCATTATTGCGCTTTCACCCAAAACCCTGGTACTTGCAAGTCCTATCACTGATGTTATTTTAAGTTAATTTGTGTCCGAGAGCACCCTTTGTTCCTTTGTGTTCAACGAACTTCATGGAGATATACTATACAATAACGAGCAAAGATAGTTTAAAATAAACAATATAAAGAGGACATTTTAATCTCTCTTCAATGACCGAGAACGTGATTTCATGTTAAACTTATCTATTTTATCAGTTCTGTGCAGTTTAATGCATAATGTATTAGGTTAGGTAGTCGCATAGTTACGCATAATACTCTTTTACTTTTAGTAACAACTAGAATATCTACGTAGTAGTTGTTACTTGGCATGCCATTAGGGGTGAGACGAGCTGAACATCAGTCAGTGGCGTACAATTAGGGGCGCCTCATTTCGGAATCCGGCGATGATAATGATGATGATAATATTGACAGCACTGGTGTTAGGTTTTTTTAAAAGAATAACATAAAATTATTGTAGTAATGAAAAGACAACCTTTTGTTCTACGGGCGTCGGGGATCAAGGGACGATCTCCGGCCATCGTAAGCGCGGATCTGCGAGCAGAACTAGACCCGAGAATACGGCGCATACATAGCGTTCCGCGCGCGCCTCAAAGAGTCAATAGACCACAACAGACGGGGCCCTATAGGACTGATGTTCAGCCGGGGTTTCGGGGTAAGCGCAATGAGGCACCGCGACCTCGGCCCAGAGCAGGAGAAGGAACAGGGGTTTTTTAGAGAGTAAGAGTCTGACACTCCCTCCCGCCCGGCCCCGGGCGTAAGAAGTCATTTGATGATTTTCCCCTCGCAAAAACCCTTTTGGTAATGGCCGTACCTACTTTGAACATTGACCTGGACTTAAAATGCGTTGATTTACAATGACTATCAGATGTTTCACTCACGATCCCTATCACTACTGAACTGTATACCTAAAATATTGCTTATCCTCCTTTTACTTACGTCTTCGTATGATATAATAACCGTTATCAATCTATAACGTATCAACATATTATCAACTTCTTAGTATCGTCAAATATCAATTTATTATTTTCTTTCAGTCTACAACTAGTACCTACAACACCACAATGGTAGCCAGAAACTTGTTCACCGTAAACAGAACTTTGACAACAGTGAAACAGAGTTCAAAATACGCAAGTGTTGTGATAAGGAATCATAGTGTTTGGACTCAGGAGAGAGTGGTCAAATCGCCTTTTAAAGACATTCAGATACCAAATTGTACCTTATATGAGTATATTTGGCAGAATCTCGATAAATGGCCGGAGAGGACTGCATCTGTGAGTATCTGTTAATTATTATTTTAATTTGTAACATCTGGTAAAAGACTGTTTTATTGTTATCATTTTGCATATTCTCTTTTTTTCTTACTCTGTTTTTAAACCTTCGTATTTTTTATACTGCATATTTTATTTTTGTTCTTGGCTTTCATGACTTAACAAAAAGCAAATAATATCTCTTAGTGCGAATTATGGCACGACACACTGGGATCAGATACGAAATCCCCAAGTTTGAATGTATCTCTAAGTTATTCTTTTTTAAAGCAATATTTATTTACAATGTGTTAAAATAAAATAATAACATATAATAGAAAGATAATAAAATTATGACACCACACAGCGTATTAGTTAGCACTCTGCTTATGATGTTGCTCGATCCTTAGCCGGCCTGCATGTATATATTCTACAAAGCTACATAAACTTCTGATATCAAATACTTATGCAGTTAGAAATTAAACAACCTACCAAACACAATCGACACGTTGTCCAAATAGTCTTTATGATAATTTTAATGCTATTTTTCTCCATATTAACAACTTTCGAACTCCATACGAACATTAGTTTTAGTGTCACACAAATTAACAGTTTTTTTGCCCAATGATCATTGCCAATAAAAAGGAAATCATTTTCTCCTGTGGTATAGGTGGTCGCCTTACTAGCTTCCATTAATTTTCGACTCCAAAGACCGTTACATGTTTTACAACTACAAAAAAAAAGAATAAAATCAATTTCTTTTATATATTTAGATATCACAATCACCAAGGCAAGATAGAAGAATTTGATTATTAATATCGGGATAACAATAAAAGCCGCTACTTTTCCACTTGATTGCTATAATCCCTTGAACTACAAGTGTCAGTATTTTTATATATCCATACCTAATGACTATAAGCCCTCTTATCAGAGATTTCATAATGACAAGATATGAAAAAGACATGCATTACTGATAAGCTAGAGTTTGGAATTTTTTAAATTGTTATTTTGTATTTTTATTATGAGATAGGACGGCAAACGAATATGTTTTACTTAATGATAAGCGATCGGCACCATCCATGGACACCCAAAACTTCAAGGGATTGACGTTGCCGAATTTTTTGGCGATGCTGGATTTGAGAATGGGTTCTCATCATCCAAGGGGTTGGGTTAATAAAAAACCTAAGTTTGGGAGGCCCAAACTTCCCTCGCCTATTCCCTCCCAGTCCTTAAATATTTGGAACCATTATCCCTAAAAGACCGGCAACGTACAAGTACCTTTGGTGTTGCTGGTGTCCATGGGCAGCTCCAATTGCTTACCACCAAGTAATTTTTGTGTTTGTTGGTCGAGCTATCTCATAAAAAAACCCTTACTTTCACGGCGAAACATCGCGCTAGCATTGTTTTACGTCAGTTTTGGTCAAGCCGAACCATTCGTGCTGAAGCATAGGTCTCCTACCGATTAAAGCAATGTTGCTGTATTAATGTTTTTCTAAAACAATGTTTCCAGGTCTGTGCAGTGACTGGCAGAGGGTACACTTACGAACAAGCGTTCAAGTTATCAAACAGGTTTGCTGCAAACCTTAGGACGAAGTTCAAGATCCAAGATGGAGATGCCGTTGCCGTGATGTTACCTAATGTTCCGGACTATCCTCTCGTGTCCTTGGGGATATTGGAGGCAGGAGGAGTGATTACTAGTATCAATCCTATTTACACTGCTCGTAAGTAAGCCTTCTTTTATAATCTGTAAATTGTTCCATTGATGGGATATCTTCTCACTTTAAGATGAATAGGTGGTTTTATATTACTAGAACTATAGATTACCTGTCAATTGATGCAACTGGCTGCCATGCAACGTGTCGCGGGTTTGTGTGATCTCTGTGTGATCCACAAATTGTTGTTTCGGGTCTGGGTGTGATGTGTGTGTATGTTTGTAAACGCACCCACGGCCCACGACACAGGAGAAAATAATGGTGTGGGGCAACGTTTTAAGTTAAAAAAAGAACAAAAAAAAATCTCTTAAGAGTGTCACATCTTGATGTGTCTAAAAGCAAAATAAAGGAGCTGGCGAATGACCTGATGGCAAGTAAAGGACACCTGCAACATCGAGGAGTGCAACTTGCAACACGTATAACTTCTCGTAGGGCTATACATTTAAAGAGTTATGGATTTGTTTGCCTGTATATATCAAAACACAACGCATGCTTTGTTTCGCGTTGTTTTTCTGCAAGGCCAGGTTATAGTTTCGGTCTCTCTCACACTTCGCTTAGTTAAAATTGGCAACAGAATTTACATAGGTAGTACACAAGTGTGAACATAATAAATGTTTTCCTGAATAACTTAACAACTGTAATTGCAAAAGGAAGTTGTCTACATCTAAATAGTGCAAAATGTCATTAAACCGGTCTAGACAATACTATAGGAGACAATGTTATGTTATTCTCCCACGGTAATATAAATAAGAAACGAAGGGAAGTCAATGGAAATAACAGTGTGACGTCATAGCTTTTATGATGATAAATATAGGATATTTTCTTAATTTATCTGCTAATGTTGGATTTTATAATCTGGTTAAAAAAAAAACAATACAAGAAAAAAGTTCAACTTTATAATCAAAATAAAATTATATTTTAAGATGATTAAGTAACACAAGTAATATTGCTAAAGTTATGCTGGTTAAATAGGTAATGAAAGAAGATATTTATGACTGCAATTTGAAAATAAATGATAGTAAGACAAAGTAGCAAGTAAATCCAAGAATTGAATGATATAAAGTGCCTTTTTGTGAGAGGAAAACCATCAAATGACTTCCTGCCCAGGGTGAGGCGAGAGGGAGTGTCAAATTCTTACTGACTAATACCCCCCGTTCCTACTCCTACTCCTGCTGCAGACCGAGGCCGCGATGCCTCATTGCGCTTACCCCGCAACCCCGGTTAAACATTAGCCCTAAAGAGAGGCGCGCGTGGACCCGTACGCTTGGGTCTGGTTCTGGCCAGGAGGCGTTCTACCCTTATTCGCCGCGGTTACAGTGGCCGGAGCTCATTTCTCGATCCCTGACGCCCGCAGTGTCGTCTCACTAAGGTGCCTACTTTTTTTTTTTTTTTTTTTTTGTGAGGGGAAAATCATCAAATGACTTCTCCCGCCCAGGGCCGGGCAGGAGGGAGTGTCAGACTCTTACTGACTAAAAACCCCCCTGTTCCTTCTCCTGCTCTGTGCCGAGGTCGCGGTACCTTATTGCGCTTACCCCGCAACCCCGGCTGAACATCAGCCCTTTAGGGCCCCGTCTGTGGTGGTCTATTGGCTCTTTGAGGCGCGCGCGGAACGCTACGCGCCGTACGCTCGGGCCTGGTTCTGGTCGGGCGGCGAGCTGCCCTTACTCGCCGACCGCAGGCCCGTACTTACGGTGGCCGGAGATCGTCCCTCGATCCCCGACGCCCGTAGTGTCGCCAGTTGCGGCTGCTGGGGCGTGAGGAGGAGGATTGCTCCCTCACGCGGGCCGCCTCTCTCTTTGCGAGCATGACTGCTTCACAAAAGGAGGAGACGGCGTCCCAGTTCCTCTCACTCCGCACCATGGCCTCGACTAAGGCCGGGCGCGAGAGGTCGCCGCCGCCGATCACTTCCCTGAGGATACGGCGGTGCTCAGCCCAGGCAGGGCATACCGCTACCGTATGCTCCACCGTATCCTCTAGGTGGTCCTCACAATGACGACACTCGGGCGTTTCCTCCCGCTGAATCCGAAACAGGAACCTAACGAAGCTGCCGTGCCCGGTAAGCACCTGCGTCAGACGGAAGGTGAGGGCGCCGTGGCGTCTCTCAAGCCACTCCTCAAAGAGGGGTCTTACCGCTGCTATGGTAGCGTGCCCGGCCCTTGGTTGCGACAGTCGTTGTCTCCACTCTGCCGTGAGATCTCGCCGGAGCTCATTCCGCCACGCACTTATTTGGCGCGGCAGAGGATCTTCGCCCCGGCGACGCGCGTCTGCGCGCAAACTGTAGACGCGCGCGAGCGCCTTCGCTTCTAGATCCCACGGCGGTGATCCGGCAAGGAGGTTCGCCGCCTCCCCGGAGATCGTGCGATACCCGCGGATTACTCGTATAGCCATGACCCTCTGGGACGCGACCAGCGTACGAGCCGGCCGCCGCTTCAAGTCCGGCGCCCACACAGGGGCACCGTAGAGGGCCATGGATCGCACAATCCCCGTATACAACCTCCGGCAGGAGGCGTTTGGCCCCCCGAGGTTGGGAAGGAGCCGCTTGAGCGCGGCCCCAGACCGTTCCAACTTAGGGGCCAAACGACGAAAATGCTCCGTGAAGTTCCATCGGCTGTCGAGGACGAGACCCAGGTACTTCATCGCCGACTCGACGCCGATGGTAACTCCTCCTGCCGTTACTTGGGACCCACCTGGAGGTGGCGCGCTCCGACGGCCATAGAAGCACATGGCCTCGGACTTGTGGAGCGCCACCTCGAGTCCCAACTGCCGGATCCTTGCAACGACCGTCGCAACCGCTTGTGACATCAGGTCGGCCGCCGCCTGATGCGACCTCCCGTTCGCCAGCACCAGCGTGTCGTCAGCATAGCAGACAATGCTGACGCCGCTCGGGAGGTCGGTGCGTAGCACCCAATCGTACCCGATGTTCCACAGGAGAGGTCCCAGGACCGATCCCTGTGGGACACCGCGCGACACCTCTCGCCGATTCCACACGCCCCGGTGACCGGGGTAGATGACGCATCTGTCCGTCAAGTAAGCCTCGACTACACGACGGAGATAGGCAGGCACCCGGTGATACCGGAGTGCCTCCAAAATGCAGCTCCAGGGGAGCGAGTTAAAGGCGTTGGCGATGTCCAGAGACACCGCCACGACGACTCGCCTCCCGGCCAACGCTGTCCCCGTCGTGAGGTCCCTCACGCGCATGATGGCGTCCACCGTGGAGCGCCCTCTTCGGAAGCCGAACTGGCCGTCCGCTAAATCCGGCCCCCTTCCAGACAGGTGCCCGACGAGGCGGTCTGAGATTATCCTCTCGAACAGCTTTCCCACCTCGTCGAGCAGCACAATGGGCCGGTACGCGGACGGGGAGTCCGCAGGACGCCCCGGCTTCTTCACGAGGACCAGTTTACCCGTCTTCCACGACAGCGGAAACTGGCCTCTCTCCAAACATGCGCTGAACAGACCAAGTAGTCGAGGCCTGAGAGCCTCCGAGGCCAGGACCCAGACCTTGGCATGCAGCCCGTCAGGTCCTGGGGCGGTATTCTTGCCGCTCAGCCGGCGCACCGCCACTCTCAAATCTACCTCGGTCACTTCCGGAGCGGATTCGTCGTCGTCGTCGATGTAGCCCGCATTGGGCACCGCAGGGGGCGGGGGCATAGCCGGAGGCGTGTAACCCGTCTGTGGTCGGGGGAATAGCGCCCCAACCACTTCGTCCACGACCTCCGGCCGGAGACTCTGAGTCAGTGGGGGCGCCCAGGTGCGGAGCTTATCACGCACCATCCGGTAGGGGCGTCCCCACGGGTCTCTGTTCAGAGTCTCCAACATCTCCTCGCGGGCCCGATCTTTGGCCCGCCGGATCTCCACCCTGAGGGAGGCCTTCGCCGCCCTGTACTCCTCGTATAGCTCCGCCTCTCTGGTTTCAGCGTCCAGAGGGCGGAGACGGAGCCTGCGGTGCCTGGTGTATCGGCGTCGCGCTGCGGTGCACTCACCGCGCAGGTCTGCCAATTCCCGCGACCACCAATACACCTGGCGCTTGCGTTGGCGAGGTGCCTACTAAGTTGTATTTCCTTCTAATTTCAGATGAAGTACAACGCCAGCTGAAATTGTCTGCAGCTAAGATGATTGTAACATTACCAGAAATAGTACCAACTATAAAGGAAGCGTTAAAGCTTGTCCAACTAGACATTCCAATCGTTGTAGTAAAAACCAACGATAGTCCAGTTCCTGAAGGAACAGCATTATTTAACGAACTTAGTGAAGATATTCATGCGAATAAATCTATACTGAAGCAAGTCAGAAGGACTGCAGATGATGTTTGCTTTCTACCATACTCTAGTGGAACTACAGGACTACCGAAAGGCGTGGAGCTCACCCACAGGAACATTATAGCTAACTGCGAGCAGATCAATGAACCAATTATCGCTATGCACAAAGAAACTACAGGTATGTAAGAACTAATCCACCTGATTTTGCCGTCAAACAATTACATTAGTTTTTTTAATTATACAATGATTGAAAAATTATTATTAAATATCCTCATTCGTAATTGACTGATTAAGTGATGGTAAGCAATCGACACTGCCCATGGACATCCACAACTCCAGAGGAGTTACAAGTGCGTTGCCAGTCTTTTGGGGATCAGGATTTCGCTGCATTGTTGTCTCGTGCCGATTTTCTCTGAGGCCAAACCCTTTCATGCCCAAGCTCTTCAAGGCTCTTCCACACTTTACGATCTGGTGATTATACGCTGTATTGGGGAGGCATCTCAGATTTTTGGATTTTTTACAAAATTGAGTTTGACTGCTGGCTGAAACTCCGCCGCTATCATGACGCTTATGTTGTTTCCCTAGCTTAGATTTGTATAAAACTTTTGAACTGGTAACAAAGTAAATAAGTACTTAATATTAATATTTATTATTTCTTCAATACTTTTCAGCTACTCATCAAGATGTTGTGATGGGCGCGTTGCCATTCTTCCATATCTACGCAGCGACTGTCCTTATGTTCCACAAGATGTCTGTCGGAGCTAAATTAGTGGCTTTAGCCAAATTCCATCCTGATGCATTTCTGAGTTGTATTGAGAAGCAGAAGACTAACGTGTTGATGGTAGCACCCCCTTTGAGTGAGTATTTGGTCCTATTATTACGATTTTACACTGAACCAGTAGAATTAGACCAGACCTCCAAGAGGTTGGTAGGTTGCAAGCCTAGATGTACTGCGGCCTGTTTCGGAGTAGGAAAATAATGATTTCCCAATCTTAAAGAAGGTATATTAACTTCTCGTCGCTATAATGAGATGTATTAGAAAAAAATATGTCTGTGATTGGCTTTTGTGCTCGGGCATAACAATGGCTTAAATGTAGTAATTATCGGCTTAAGTGTAGTAAGTAAAATTTATGAAATGTTAAAGAAAAATTGATAAAAGACCATCGATGTACATTAAACAATCAAATGGTTCTCATTTATGAACAGACCCACCAATTTGACACATCGGCTGAAAGAGTTTGTAAAAATAGCCATTGTATTGTAGACGTGAAATGAATAATTCGATGATGATAACAGTTTTTAGAGTCAGTTAGGCAAAATAATTACTATGTGTAAATATTTTGTTAACTTAGAATTGCCATATCCGTAAATGTTTACATTTACACATACATTCACATTACCTAAAATACGCGCACACATCCAAACTTTATTTGTTTATGTCTCTTCGTCCGCGATATTTTTTTGCACAAGGTCGTTCGTTGACAATACTTGTTTGATTCCGGATTCTATAAAACTTGTCCTATTGTGGGTATTTAATTTCACTGGACCGTATGTGAGTGAGAGTAAGATCTGTTTTTGTTTACCACGTTTTTTAATGATTTCAAGGTCAAATAGGAAAGTTGTTTTCAACTTTTGAAAGACAATTTAACTAAGACTAAATGATAGAAAATTGTAACTCTTGTTCCATTACAATGAAGAAATCGAGTAATCCTCGAAAGAAATAGATATCGAAAAAAGCCAAGGAATTGGAGATATCAACAAAAGTTCTAAGTTTTAATTTTGACTGTCTGTGTCTGTATTTTTCTTAATTTACGTCATCGATTTAAAAAATACATATTTACTAAAAATGTTTTAAATAATGACTGTACTGTAATTTATCACAGTACAGTCATTATTAAAAAACATTTTTTGCCAAGAAAGTCTGCTACTCATTTATTGTACATCCCATACGAGCATATAAAAATCATGTTAGATTGAAGAAATCATTTCCGTGTATGTAACAAGGATAAAATAATTATTGTCCAAACTGTTGCAAAAACAGGAAATGTTTTGGTCTAGTTTCAATTCCTAATAAGAATCTAAAAATTGTTTATTTTTTATTTTTATGTAATTGGTCGGCAAACGAGCAGACGGATTACCTAATGGTAAGCAATCAGCGCCGCCCATTAACACCCGCAACGGAGGATTTACGAGTGCGTTGCCGACCTTTTAGGGATTTGGAGATTTAGGGATTGAGGAGGGATTGGGGGCGGGGAAGGATTGGGCCTCCGGTAACCTCACTCACACAGCGAAACACAACGCTGTGGTTGTTTCACGCCGGTCTTCTGTGAGGCCGTGGTATCACTCCGGTCGAGCCGACCCATTCGTGCCGAAGCATGGCTCTCCCACACTTGTATTGTTATGAGGTACTTAATCTCATTTTGTTTCGTTCTTTGTAAAAAATATGTTCAATAAATTATCTTCAGAAATCTATACACATTTCACGGAATTTCGGATTTCATCACTATTACCGAACAAATATTGCGTTCTTAAAGTTGAATGTAGTACCTATTATTTATTCTATAGATTGGGATACAAGGTTTAAGTGTCAATGCTCGACCTTTGTTGAGGATTAGGGTTTCAGAAATGTAGGGATTGATTGACTATAAAAGTAACCATTTTATATGGTTGATTTCAGTTCTTTTAATGGCGTCTCATCCAGCGGCTACTGCGAAAACTCTCGAGTCTATAGATGTTGTTTGTAATGGAGCAGCTCCTTTAGCTGGAAGTGACGTAGAAAGATTGATGAGACGAATGCAGGTATGAAGTTTTTTTCTTTATTTAATGAGAAACAAAAGTAACTAAATTAAAGCTGTATTTAAAATGTTAAAAACCTCTACAAACCACTTCTTTTTAATGATTACTTTCTTATTTATCTTACAAGAGAAATAATAAAGAAAATAGATAAGTTATAATTGAAGTAAGAAAATTATATTAGTGAGAATCTTGTTTATTAATGATCGGCGTTCTTCTCTTAATGATCTTCTGTTGGATTTTTAACCCCAATTTTGAATAATGTAGAAAATGACAAATAAGTATAAAGCAAGGCCGAAGTGTGAAGAAAAAACGTAGGTACTAAAATAGAAAACCTATTTAATTTTTCAGAGAGACATAGATTTCAGACAAGGTTATGGACTGACGGAGACATCTCCAACGTTGACAGTCACTCCTAAAGGGTTGCTCCGCTACGAAGCAACTGGACCACCTGTAGCAAACACTGAAATGAGGATCGTGGACTCTGATCTCAACAACTTGGGTCCTAATGAGGTTGGTAGTCGAAATTTTTGTTTTCATTTCCTTTTATTTAACAGTAGCGTGTATTAGTGTTTTGATCTAAAAAAAGCCGATTGCAACGAAAAATGAATGAGGAAAATGCCCAGAATGTTGAAGTCTTCTGCTGTGTCCTAAGAACAAATCAAACCTTTGGTCACGAGATGTGTCGACCAGATTCGAGATCTCTTTGAATAAACAAGTTTACCTAGTTGTTTTAACTGTTAAAGTTATTATTAATTTGGCTTACTACTCAGGTAAGGTTTCTTCAGTTATAGAAAATAATTGTTTGTCAAACTTCTTCGGTCTTCATTATGATGCTCATTGCAGCTAGTTTTTTAACAGGAGTCTTCCAGCGATTTCAATTCTCTTGTGCTATATGCTGATATTTTTATCATATTTGGTAATAATGCTGAGTATGGAGCCATCTATTTTAAAAATATAAAGGAAATGTCTAAACTCTTCCAGACTGGTGAGATCCTTGTCCGAGGTCCTCAAGTGATGCGTGGCTACAAAGACAACCCTGAAGCCAATAAAGAAACGCTCCTAGAAGGCGGTTGGTTCAGGACTGGAGATTTGGGCGTGGCTGATGAGGATGGCATTCTCGTAATTGCTGATAGGCTCAAGGAGCTAATTAAGGTAAGAACTGCTGTTAAAGGTTATCCAATTTATTGAAGTTATCTAGAGAAGAATAAGACTTGTAAGTTAAGACAGATAAATTTGAAATTTGGATTAAGTAATCCTTACAATTTTTTTTTAATGACTATGTTCGAACTTAGAATAAATGTTTTTGTGGATACAATAATGTAAAATCAGGGAAAAAGATTAACACGCGGACCGTAGATTATCTGTATGTGGCTACAACGTTTGAAACGATTCCAGGAAACCATTAAAAGCTGTTGTCAAATAAGTCAAAATTAAATTCTAAAACTTACTTACAGGTTAAAGGCTTCCAAGTGCCTCCAGCGGAACTAGAATCCGTTTTACGAGAACATCCTTCGGTGAATGATGCAGCTGTCATTGGGGTTCCTCACCAAACCAAAGGAGAGTCACCAAAAGCCTTCGTAGTACTTAAGAATGGTCACAAATGCACTCCTCAGCAACTCAGCGAATTCGTTAATGAGAAAGTAGCAGCTTACAAACATGTAGACGATATTACTTTTATAGAGAGTGTTCCGAAAAGTGCAGCTGGGAAGATTTTAAGAAGAGTACTAAGGGACCAGTACTGTTAACATAGGAATTATAAAGCAGGTTGTTTTGTTAAAGGCATTCACAATTTGTGAGAAAATGAGATGCAATATTATAGTTCCGTAACTTTTCCACAGAATATTTTAAAATGACTTGAAACTCCTGCAGGGTAGTTAGATTGATAAAATGTCAATTTGTATATTGTAAATAGTTTTAAGGACGATATTTTTTTTAAATGAGAATTTTTTTCGATGAATTTTGGGAGATAATTGCTATATTACCTTTCATGTCGACGGCATATCTTTCGTTACCCTTTTTTATTTGACCAAATTAATAATTTATTTCAGTACTACAGTTACCGCGAGAGAGATAGCTAGATAAAAAGGAATCCTTTATTAAATTTTCTTGAGACACAATTGCGAATTTTTAAGCATTTTTTTTATAGTTTGAATAAACATTTAAAATTACTTAGGAAGATGTGTGACTATTTTGGTCCCTTTAAATTAATTAACACCTTTTCTACCGTTCCATAAGTCGATATTTTTGATGGTAAACAGAAAAAAATACTTTTTTTTCATAGGAAAGTCAGGTGATTTTGGTCAAATGAAATGATAAATAATATTTATGATTGACGGACATAAGGGTTACTATTGCAATTCTATCTTTATTTATACTCTCATTAGGAGTTTAAATAAAATATAAATCATATAGGGAAAAGAATAACTAAGTATGAAGATTTTTTCGAAAATCAAGATACATTTTTAAATTAGAATGAATCGAAGGAGGTTACGTAAAATATAGTTCTGACTAAAGATTTACAAAAAGCTTTAATATCTTGTAAAAACACGTAGATATAAAACATATTATATTGTTAAATCAGTAAATAATAGGTCTTTACCTATGAAATTGCCGTTTTGCATGAAAAAATTTAAACGAATTTTTTATTTGAAATGCGATAAAAATTTAACACTAATCAATAAACGAATTACTACTTTTGGAAAAAGAATCCCATATTTTTAGAACAAAATTAATTAGCCTTAGCCTAACAAAAACTATTTTGATTTGAAATGGCCAGTACTGCGGCAATTTCATAGGTTCACCTATTAATGAAATCGTGGGTAGATACGTAAGTAAAAATAGTGACAGAGAACCTTTTTGTATCTTTTTAAATTTTTAATTATGTTTCGAGTTGTAACATTGTTATACTTAGACGAAATAATAAAAAACGTATATTTTTAAATATTTTTGTTTTAATTATTTCATATTTTGATGAATCGCTAATGATATATCTGTACTAATATTATAAAGCTGAAGAGTTTGTTTGTTTGTTTGAACGCGTTAATCTCAGGAACTGCTGGTTCGAATTGAAAAATTCTTTAGAAGAGACCATTAAAATATGTACTATTAGACCATTTGGCCATAAAATAGACATTAGATATTTATTGAAATATACCATTTATTGAGGAAGGCTTTAGGCTATAAAACATCACGCTACGATCTGTAGGAGCCGAACAGCGGGTGATACCGCGCGAGAGTAGCTAGTATTAGATATATGTATTATATAGTCTATGCAACACTTACTTTTCGAATCCAGTACTGGCAGCAAAACTGTACGTATTTCTATATGTGAGTAATTAATATACGTATATAGTTAGTTGTATTTATTAAATTTTGATATGAAGGCCCTGATGTTAAGTAATAGGTGTCGCCTATTGATCAACATCAGAGGTGCTAAGAGTTCGTTGACAGCCTTTTGGAAATTAGGGTTTTGGAAGTTTTGAGATTGGGGAATGATAGGGGGAGGGAGGATACACAACACTTTCATTTCTACGCCGGTTTTTTTGAGGCGGTGGTATAACTCCGTGCCGAAGCGTGGCTATCCCAGACTTGTGTTTAATAGACATTTATAGTCCAATTATTTATTTATTTATTTATTTTAGACTTCATGCACAAAACATTGTACATAGGCGGACTTAATGCAATGAGCATTCTCTACCAGTCTACCTTTGGGTGATGCAGAGATAATCTAGTAGCAGGTGCAGAAGCAAGGAAATTCAATTTAATATACCAAACAAATATATAAAAATATACATAACGCACTTTACATACATACATACTATATATATACATTATAATACATATTTATAAGGCAGTAAATATATATATATATATACATATATATACGTATATGCAGTCATAGTCACGATGATTCCCCCAACCTCTTCAAAAGAAGCTCCCGAACTCTCTGCTTGAAAGACAGCCGACTAGTCAAGATCCTGATATCGGGGGGTAGCGCATTCCACAGAAGAATAGCCTGAACGAAGAATGAGGAATGGAGAAATTTTGAGTGATGAGTTGGACAGTTGAGGAGACGATTGTTAGAAGAGCGAAGGTATTTATTGTGGTTTGCGCATGTGTATTGGAAGTAAGAGGACATATAGCTAGGTGGGCAAGGTGAGTTAAGAAAGGAAAATAAAGTGGTTAGCGCCCTTTGCTCCCTACGCTGGCGTATGGGCAACCACTTCAATTGCAACCGATGTGCAGAAACATGATCATATTTGCGTAGGTTGAAAACGAAACGAATGCAGTTATTCAGAAGTCGGTCGAGTTTATTGAGGAGATCTGCATTCAGGTCATAGTAACAAACATCTCATATTATCTATCTATAATATCTATCTCATATACAAATTATCTCATATATCTTATCTCAATTATTTTATTTGTTAATTACAAATATGTTATATACGTTTTTCTAGTCTTTTTTTTATAAAAACCTATTGAAACACTTTTCTTCTTTACCTCCGCAGTTGAGAACGCCTTCCGGGATTTAGGACGCCTTTGTATGAGTTATAAGAAGTTTCATTGTAGGCATAAGTTTATTTCCGGTTATTTTTCAACCGAAATTGTAAAATCAACTATATTGTCTAAGTGATAAGGTCTGTCTATGTACGGCAATTTAATGAATATTATTTTCTCTATAGTAATTCATTATATTAGCTCGTAATGATACAATGCAGCAAATGCAGCTCCATAAGTTTAGATTCGTTTTATACTCGGTCTATGTCTGAGGATCGTGGTCAGCATCGGGGTAACATCTGGAGCGGATGATCCGCCTCCATCGGTTTCGATCCAGCGCATCTCTCACTACCGCGAAGAACTCGGAGGACGATGAATCTTTCACTTGATCGGTCCATCTGGTTGGTGAACGACCGCGCGATCGTTTGCCTTCAGTGTTCCCAACGACAATCAGACTTTTATCGCCTCTGCGCACTGTGTGGCCGAAATAGGATAGAATGCATTGTTGGCATATGGTTGACAAGCGGGTTTTTATTTTCAGCTGATTCAGGATAGACACATTGGTGCGTTTAGCCGTCCAAGGTATTCGGAGTAATCGCCTCCAACACCACATCTCGAATCCTTTATCGTTCTCGGGCTAAGATCGTCCACGTTTCCATCCATAAAGAAATATAGGAAATACCAAGGCTCTTGTCAACCTGATCTTGGTTTGAATGCCAATTCCTTTCTTCTTCCAAATGTTGTTCAAACGGGTCATAGCATCTTTAGCCATTCCGATGCGTCTCCTAATCTCGGGGACACAGCTGCCATAGTTGCCGATTTGGGAGCCAAGGTAAATGTAGTGGTCGACAATGTAAATGCTAGGAATGTTGTAGGTGACTTTTGCTAGTGTTCCGGCTCGATCCACTATCATTACCTTAGTTTTCGCTCTGTTCACTGTGAGACCAATGTTGCCACTTTCAGTTTCGAGTCTTTGGAACAGTTCAGTCATATCTTCCATGGGTGTTGCCAGGAGAACGGTATCGTCAGCATATCAGAGATTAGACAATCTCTTTCACCACCTATAGGAAATCCCTTCTCCCAGTTTTCGACAGTCTTCTGAATTATATACTCTCCATAAATGTTGAAAAGTGGGACAGGATACAACCCTGCCTCACACCTTTTTTCGTTTGGAACATGTTGGAGTATTTGGTGCCTATCCTAACGAAAGATCGATTTTCTGCACTCCATATGTTTAGCGTACTAATATTATAAAAGTGATAGTTTGTGAGAATGCATGGATGTACCTATGTATGTTTGTAATGGCGCTTGATCGACGACCCCGGCTAAGATAGGTGATAACCTGGTATAAAACATCGGCTTCTTTTTATTAATATAACGAGAGAGGGCGCTGGCGGAAGCAAGTTAAAAAAATCACACATTCACTCATTGATTTGAAGACGAATCCCTTTTTTCTTACTATTCTAGCATTTTTTAAAGAAAAAGTTTGCTATTTGACTCAAGCAATAAAGATTTTTTGGCAGTTCGCAATTTTTTATTTGGAAACTGGCCTATAATTTCATGCGCCTGGCTTTTTTCCAATTCGTTATTGGGGTCGGTAACTGAGCCTTAACTTTGATTATGTGACTGAATAGGTATCTGCTAAAACACATATAAAATATAAAACTATATATAGTATATCGAAAAACCTAATTATACATTCCAGAAATCGACTCCAAGTGACTTCATGTGGTTATATCCTATTTGCTTCATGCGGTAAGTAGGTACTTACAATACCGTCAACGTATCTTGGCGAGTCTGAAGTTAGCCGATTAGCTGCGCAGTACACAATTTTGTTCCTAAAAGATCCATTAGCGACGAGCTACCTACCTAACATTCGCAAAAATTATACCTAACCTTAACATTTAAAATCTGTGTAAATATTTCATTAACAATGAATAATTATTTATTTGTAATTCTCAAGATAATGAGCATGATAACGTTATATAATGTAGTATTACTATCAACGTACTTATAATAAAAATATTAATTATGCCACACTACAGACACGAGTCAGTAGTTTAAGCACCTGTTAAACTGGGGCGGCATAATTTTTAGTCAGTAAGAGTCTGACACTCCCTCCCGCCCGGCCCTGGGCGGGAGAAGCCATTTGATGATTTTCCCCTCCCAAAAAAAACCCCGGCTGAACATCAGCCCTATAGGGCCCCGTCTGTGAGGGTTGCAGGTACAAGTGCAATAATGTACCGTGGCCCCGGTTGGAGTAGCAGGGTTTGCGGAAGAATGTAGTTTCCCATGGTCCTGGGCTCACGTGTGAGTAGGCATCGGGATGGTTTTAGTCGGTAAGAGTCTGGTATGCTCTTTCGCCGTTCCCCAGACGGAGTATGTCCATAAGGACTCGTTAAGAAAAGTAATTTGATGATTTAACCTCATCATAGAATAGCCTTAGTCAACTTTTATGCCACTTGTCAGTACGATAGCATGTAGGTATTTTATTTTATTTTGTTTGAAAAATATTTCTTATCGTTTCTATCTTTAGAAAAGCTGCCTTCGTATTAAAATTACAACATAACTACAATATATATTTTGGCCAACGTAAAAAAATATTACCACTTAGTATTTATAACTACCTACATTAGGTATAAATAAACCGGTTGTACCGAGACGAGGTCAAACTCCATTGATAAAGGACCTTGCGAATCTACGCATATAGACACATTGATATTGAAAAACTGATTAGTAGTACAGTATCATATAACATTAATGTATCTGATAATAATATATGGCTTAGTCAAAGAAGATAATGAACAAAACAAAGCGAGAAATACATTTACAGATTTTATGACGAGAACTGATTAGAGAAAGATATCTGAAGAAACTGCGTCCAATCAGCTACAGCCCTTGACGAAGCCTGGCCCGGCCCGGCTATGTGCCGATTTTATATAACGGTGGCTGTTTGACCATACACGCTACTCTTACTGGCCTGATCGAGTTGTATTTTACAGATGACTTACCAGTTTTATCGCATACACACTAGGGTTTACATTTAGCCAGAAGCATAAGGCGTGAAGCGTTCCGCACGCGCCTCCATGACCCAATAGACACTACAGATAGAACCCAATATGACCGATGTTTAGCCAGGATTGCGGGGCAAGCATAATTAGGTACCCTCGCCTCACCTTGGGCAAGAAACGTCATACGATGACTTTCCCTTTACAAAAAAATGGAGGCTTGCATTTACGCACACTTTTGCATACAAGATTATGTACAATCGTCATGCAACCCCAAACATATTTTGCCACTATTAGATGGGACTGCCATATACATATAGTTTTAATCTAACAGCAACAGCGTAATAAGTTTATTTGAAGTGATACTTCTGGATATCACACTGTTAAATATTAACGAATTAAAATGTATTCATGAACCGTCTGCTAACAGCACTCATATGACATCCAACGTCGTCAACGTGCGGACCGCTCGAATTATAATTTTGTTTGTAAATAATATACTTTTGTAAATAAACTCTTAATCTATATTTAACAGTTACTACTGATATTATTGTATTATTATCGTCGCCATGTCTACTGTTATATTTCGTTTTAGACCTCGATTTAATCGTTTATGTCTCAGTGCGTGTTTTAGAGAAAAAAGTGTTTGGACCAGTGACAAAGTTGTAATTTCAGCTTCCAAAGATGTTGATGTACCGAGCTTGACAGTAGATCAGTACTTATTTAGGAATTTGGATAAATGGGCAAAGAAAACTGCTGTGGTAAGTACTGAGAAATAAAAAATTTCTGCTTGTCTATGACTCAAGTTTTATTGAGGTTGTCTTTCTTGTTGTCTCTTCTTTATCAGACTCACTGCCTTCTCCAGGGAATGTTTCCCTATTTTCATTTTTATAAAAACTCTGTTAGTTTATAATATCATTATCTTCGATTGCCAATTGCCTAATACTATTATTATCGCATTATCGAAAAAAAATCTTTGCACTTCGCAAGGTAAATCAAGCAAATGGAATAATTATCGTGGTCATTGCTTTAAGAAAATTTTATATTCAAAAACAAAGCGATTAAAATTTGAATTAATTTATTGATTCAAACGTAAAATAGCTTTAGTTTCCTCGGTGGAAATTAATATTTACTTAAGATTATAATCTTAAAAAAATTTATAAAGGAATCTAAAGAAATGAATAGTTTTAAAATATTCCCTATATCTTGAGAAACAATTGACTTATTTACATTATTTAATGCATATAGAATAAATTAAACGCCGGGCCTTCTTGACGGTTCATTCAAAGGGCAATCAACTGTCAACGAGTTTGTTTACGTAAGTCCAAGTTACTGATATCGATATCAGGGTTTTCGGGAAGTACCAGTAATATCTTTAGAAACATTTTTACGCTAATCTAGCCGTAGCATCTCTCTGGTCGAACCGGTTCATTCCTTATTCATTATAACAATTCTAACTTTACGTCCATTGTTAAACATAGGCCTGGTTGCCCTCAATGAGAGGCCTAAACTGTAATGCCGTACATTACAGTTTAGTGATTATTTCATTAAAAAAACATTAAGTTTGAACATTAGTCATTAGTGTTTCGAACTTTGTTATCGAAAACAATACCAATCTTAAGATAGTTATCTAGGACAAACTCCATTGATAAATAATTCCGACCTTTAGTACAGAAATATTTAAATCAATTGATAAATAATGATGAGTCAAATTACGTTTAAATTGAGTTTTTTTAAAAAAGTAATCACCATGTTGTAAGGCCTCCTTTTGAGGGAGGCCACCTTATTATACTAAGATATACCAAAGGTCGATTATGTAAAAAAATACACAGCAAGCTTACATTGTTTAGCCAGTATGAAAATAATGTTTTATGATACTTGACCTCACAATTTTATAGGGTTACTTACTATGAGTTTTAAAGATGGAAGCAGGGATGTATTTATTTATAAAATAAATGATGCTCCCAAAGAGTTTACACGTGTATCGTGGGTACGTTAATTAACAAACATATTTTTTTAATACACCCAAACCTGTAAAAAGAATTTGTGGATCGAAAAAAGTTTTGTTTGTTTCGAACCCGCGTCATTATGCACACCAGCCGCTTGCCCAGCCACGATGTCAGCATTGTGCAGCCAAAATTATCACTTCTGTGAATTACATTGATTCATATTTTTTATTACAACTTTCGTGAGACATTCTATATTAATTATTATGTTTCGGCTTACTCACGTAATAATTTGACGAGATACTCGACTAGTTTCAAGCCATGCTAGAGGCCCATATTCATGAACAGCATTCCGCGACACGCGACGCGGCGACTGTCGCGCTGCTACTTTTCATGGTTCACGTAAAAATGTGCATTCCACTTTAGAAGTTATATTAAAATTGTAATTTGATTCTATGTGATGTTAAAATATGTATGTATGCATGTAAACCAAATTGAATGGCCGTGTGTTGCTTTGTAAAAACACTTACGTGAACGTTAGACAATATACTGGCTATCATAGTACAAGCATTCGTTGCAGTCAGGAAATGATTCTTATTAAGCCAAAAAACTTTATATGTACTTAATATTTTTTTTTTCGTTTCAAGATCTGCGGCCACACGAATAGACAGTACACATACGAGGAAGTGTACAAAAAATCAAGAATCCTTGCCGCCAATTTGAGGAGAAAGTTCAAAATCAAAGATGGCGACACTGTCGCTGTTTTGCTACCGAACGCGCCGGAATACCCGATCATCACGTTTGGAATCCTCGCCGCTGGTGGTGTGGTTACCACTATGAATCCTGTTTATACTGCTTGTAAGTTAGTTTTTGCTTGTCCACGTCTTTTTTAGCGTCATATAATTTGAATCTGCCAAGTCTGTTTTTTGCTACTTGTAAAATAAAATATACGAAATATACATATATAGCCATGTTAATATTAACTCGAATACTATCTATACTAAGTCATGAAATTTTTATAAACTAATTATTTCTTGCCGAACTCAGACGGCCTTATTCCAAAGCAAGGTTTTTCTTTAGTTTAGGTATAAACAATTGAGCCAGTTTTTGTATTTCGAATTGAAGGTCGGTGAGAATAAGATTCAAAATTCAAAACCTGACTCAATGGTTTAAACCTAGACTAAAGATAAATCTTGTTTTGTATAAGGGGGGCAAGTTATTTAATGATTTGTTTAACTTTTCCTTCGTAACGATTTTGTTCTGAAAACAGTTGCTAAAGTCTGAATAGAAATCATCAAAATAAATGACTCTGAGTACCTACGGTAACAGCGATAAGACTAGATAAATACCTATTACAAGTTACTATGACTACTAGTAAATAACTTTGGTGCCTACTTAAAAATAGTTGGCAGGTAGGTCCGTACTTGCGTAATATTAGAGATATTTTTTATTATTATTAAACACAACATTCTCCACGAAGATAAAATGTTAACATAATCACATGTTCTTAACATGTATCTAGCTATACATATAGGCGATAGCTATAATTAACTTTCCTTACAAGTATTGCAAACGCGAAAGTTTTTAAATATAGGTGGCTACATATAACTCGTTTATGTAAATATTACTGAACGGATTTCAATCAATCCAATCCAAGATGCTAGAATATTACAAAAAACAAATTACTATTGTCTTAAATTACAGATGAAATCCAGAGGCAAATTCTTCTATCAAGCACCACACTTATTATAACTAATGAAGATCTAGTTTCCACAGTAAAAGAAGCTTTGAAACTAGCAGAGAAAGACTTTCCAATAATCTCACTTAATGACAAAAGTACACCAGAAGGAACAGTGTCTTTCAAAGAACTGGTTGAAGATAATAACGTTGATATAAGTGTTTTAAAAGAAGTAAATAGAAGAGACGATGATGTAGCATTTTTGCCGTATTCCAGTGGCACAACTGGACTACCTAAAGGCGTGCAGTTAACTAATAGGAATATTGTTGCAAATTGTGAACAACAAAATACTGATTTTAGACAATATGAATATACTACTGGTAAGAAAGAATTATTAAAGTGTCTTCTATTTAGAAGAGTGGTAGCCGAGTTAGATGAAGACGTGTTAAAAAAATCTAAAGGCTAGCTCTATATTAGTGTGGGAGAAAGTCACTTTTTTTATTTAATTGGTCGGCAAACGAGCAGACGGATTACCTGATGGTAAGCAATCAGCGCCGCCCATGGACACCCGCAACGGAGGAGTTACTAGTGCGTTGCCGACCTTTTAGGGATTACGGATTTGGAGATTTAGTGATTGAGGAGGGATTGGGGGCGGAGAAGGATTGGGCCTCCGGTAACCTCACTAACACGGCGAAACACAACGCTGTGGTTGTTTCACGCCGGTCTTCTGTGAGGCCGTGTAAAAATACAAATAAATTTAACCATCCGTTAAACAGTTTAATGATATGAATTTAAGTATTATTACAGTGCACGTAAACAATGAAGATGAATTAAAAACAGCACGCTCACAATAAGCACACACTTACGCTTTATCAATATGTGTGGATATTAAATTTTGTCCTTGGCTCAGGTTTAGAATCAGTTACATTGTAAGACTGATTCTGAGGCCAATCTTGTTTATTTTTATTTGTACTCGTATGTCGTAGCGTCACACTGAGTTTTCATCGATCTAATAGTCAATTACACAATTACATTTTCAGAATCACACCAAGACAGCACTTTGGTGGTACTGCCGATGTTCCATTCCTATGGGCTGAGTATCTGCATGTTACATAAGATGTCTGTTGGTCTGAAGCTGGTGACTTTGCCAAAATTCCAACCAGACATGTTCTTGAACACGCTGCTGGCACATCGACTGGAGCTGATGTATTTGGCTCCACCAATGGGTGAGGGAATCATGTATTACGTACAACGCGTATCCCGCGAGAGGAAATGTCCGGCTCTTCTTGACTAAGGATCCCTATATTCCTTCTTCTATTCCGAGCTGGACTGCAGCACATCACTTCGCTTGAACGCAGTTTAATTTGTACCTAATGATTCATCATATTAATCATTGTTTCGCTGGACACTAAATTAATTTTTGAATGAAATGTACTTGGTAAATATATATGCCTTTATTAAATTTGATTGAGTTTCGCAAATAATATAATCTTATATATAAAAATGGATCGCAAAATGTGTTGGTAAGCGCATAACTCAACAACGCCTGGACCAATGTTGATAATACTTTTTTTGTTGTGTTTGTTATTGTCAGGAGAAGGTTCATTATCAAAGAAAATATTAGAAAAGTAGAGGGGAAGATTAGGAAAAAGTGACCCTATGATAGCGAGATAATTGGACCCGTGCGAAGCGGGGGCGGGCCGCTAGTAATTAATAAATACTCAAAGCTTTACGACAGCAGCTTTGTTTATCTTATGACACAGAAGTTGCTTTCCGCTGAATGAGCCTTTCTTTGATTATACTGATTATTGTTTCAGTTATGTTCCTTGGTGCGTATCCTCAAGTGACTGCAAAGCATTTGGAACACGTAACTGCAGTGACATCAGGAGCTGCACCCTTACCGTCTGCAGATATCCAGAGACTCTTTGAAAAGGCTCAGGTTTGTATTATATTTCTATGATCCTAAGATGCAATAGGTACTATTGAATAAGATAGGGTAATTCTACACTGCCCAAAAAGTCCATAGACTACCACAAATAGAGCTCAACAGAGCCGATGGTCAGCCAGGGTTGCCGGGCGAGAAAGAGGGATGGAGCTATTCAACTTTTATGCTATGCTCTTTCTTGCTCGGAAGACTGACGTTTTAGCTCGTCATGGTAGGCCCTCAGGGCATTGGTACCTTATTGATCTTGCCCTGCAACCCTGGCTGAACATTGCTTTGTTGAGCCCTATTTGTGGTAGTATATGGCTACTGGCCTGGAGCAGAAAAAGGAGCAGTGAATGTTAGTGAGTAAGAGTCTGACACTCCCTTCCGTGTTACACTGGGCGACAGAAGTCATTCGATGACTTTCCTCACAAACTAAAAAAATGATGCAGAAATCCTTAACTACTGATTTACTTGTTTCTAGACCCGGAAAACTAAGCACTTGCACAATCAAACTATTGCTGATTATATCTATTTTATTCCAGAGAGAAATCCAGTTCTGCCAAGGTTATGGTTTGACGGAAACATCTCCTCTAGTTAGTTTGACTCCTTTCGGTGAGAAAGTTTATGAGGACGTCGGATATTCATTACCGAATATGCATTGTAGGATCGTCGATGGAGAGATGAATAATTTGGGACCAGGCGAGGTAAGTGTAATCTGTAGAGGACTCAAGTTTACCTAACAACATAGAAGTAATCGTTTCTGCCAGAGAACTTTTACCCGCGTACACAGGATTAAAGAGTAACAAACTTACATAAAAAATAAAAAGGTTTAATGGGCATTCGGCCACATTCACGCCTGGTGGTAAGCGAAAGCGATGATGCGATCTATGATGGGGCACGCCATCCTAAAAGCAACTAATGCACTAAGGTTTTAGAGACACCTAGGTCATTCCCTTTTGGGGAACAAAGACTCCGGCCAATGATTAATAACACTAAAGGTTTTCAGTGTATTTAATCGTGAATTCTTAAACACAAAGAAATTAAAGAAGGAAATAATTATATTTTAACCAATTTATAACTCACCAATGTTAATACTGTTACAGGTCGGAGAACTTCTACTAAAAGGACCGAATGTAATGAAGGGGTATTTGAAGAATCCAAAAGCTAACAGTGAAGTGTTTGTCGATGGGGATTGGCTTCGAACAGGAGACCTGGCAAAAATCAACGAAAATGGATTAATCACCATAGCTGATAGGCTCAAGGAACTGATCAAGGTAGATGATGTTATAAGAATCACGCCATAAGAGCGTTTAGATAAAATAACATAGTATAGGTCAGCAATTGAGTGTGACTTCATGAGTAAATTTATTTTTAGCGCCTGCGTAAATGTCATTAATCGTCTATAGTTGTTTAACTATAAAATTGTTGCAGGTGCATCCATTAAATTTCACGAAATTTATTTCGTCTGTTTTAAATTAAGAATTGATATGTTATTAAATAATTTTAAGTAGTATATGTAATTATATTATTGCTGTATATGTAATATATAGTATGTATATATATATATCTATATACATATAATAAAATCGTAGGAAAGTCGAAACTGTACATTGAATATATTTTTGAAATAATATTTTGGGCGTGATGTACAATCGATACTGAAGCCAAAAATATGGTTTTTAGAATTTTTGTCTGTTTGTCTGTTTGTCTGTTTGTCTGTTTGTCTGTATGTTTGTTACGGATAAACTCAAAAAGTACGGCATGGATTAAATTGAAATTTTGCATGAACATAACTGACAGGTCGGTTCATCACATAGGCTACATATTATCACGCTATCACCTACGGGGGATGAGTAATGAACCTTTATATCTGTAAACCTTACTGAAGCAGCATGTAGTGTTACCCACAGAACAGGTGTTACCTCATACACATTTAAATTACGTTTGTAAGCAGGTTGTTTGACAGGACATGCTATCACAAACCTAGACACAAAAAAAATGAAATATAAAATAAAACATAGACTTATATTGGTAAAATTGTTGCTTCGGAATTCATACAATATTTTTGTGTATAATTATAAACATAGGTGTGATGAAGAACTAGCATTTTTTTTTTATTCATATGCGGTGTAAGGACGGGACTTAGGTGAATCAAACAAGATGTTGTTGGTTACACGTTACGTTTATTAATGCCTCTCTACCTAAAAGATACAATGTTATATTCTTATAGACTAATGATTACTTACTACGTCACACGCCCTCTCAAAAAAGGAAAAAAAAAATGTAAACTATAAAAACATTTTTTTTTTTTTTTTTTTTTTTTTTAAATTTAAACATAATTCATTCAATTGTGTAGATTCAGCTTTTATACATTTTTCATTGTATAATAGTTAGTTAATTGTAAGTTAGTATCCAATATCTATTTCAGTACACTTTACAATCTAAACAATAAACAATGACATCGGTACAAGTCTTCATTTGATATCGTACAATTACAAACAAAAGTGTTACAGGAATATAATCTTATTCATAATACAGTCTAGTTCTATTTTTATGAACAGTTTTTTCCTTTCCCTTAACTAAGATAACAACATTTGGAGATATGTCCTTAACTACTGAAAATGGACCTAAATATAATGGATCAAGTTTGTTACTGTTCTCATTTTTAACCAATATTAAATCACCAGTTTTATACGTTATTGGATTTATACTGCTATCATATTTACTTTTTCTAATAATTTTAGAATTAATAAGATTGGTTTTAGCATCCATTTGAGACTTTTGTATACGATATTTTAATTCAACAGCATAGTTATCAAAATTATAAATCGGATCTATTGTAGTAGTGAGGTTGGAAGGTATGTTACATTGTTTCCCGAATACTAATTCATATGGCGTAAATTTTGTACTCGAATGTACTGAAGTGTTATATGAGAAACACCAGTAGGATACCCATGAACTCCATTCCTGTGTTTGACTATTAACTTGCATTCTCAAATAAAAAGTTAAGTGTTTATGGCTATTTTCTAATGAACCTAAAGTTTGATGATGGAAAGCTGTAGATTGTAAATGATTTATATGTAAAATTGTACATACCTCTTTCATTATGCTGTTGACAAATTCGGTTCCTCTGTCGCTTACTATCTCACGGGGAATGCCATATCTAAGAATAAAATTATTTACCAGTGTTGTGGCCACCGTACGCGCATCCTTACTCGCTATCGGATACGCCTCGACATATTTGGTGAGGTCACACTGTAGTGTTAAAATGTAGTTATAGTTGTTATCTCGTGGTAAAGGACCTACTAGATCCATATATACTTTATCGAAAGCTGAATTTCCACAATCCGTTATAACCATAGGCTCTTTTACTGTATTTAAATATTTATAGCGTTGACATTTATTACATTTCATTACAAAATTAGTAACATCACGCTCTAATCCATTCCAAAAATATTTTTTACGAATATTGTTTAACATACGTCTTATCCCTGCATGTCCACTAGTAGGAAGAATATGATAATCGTTCAAAATTACTCTCTTTGTATCGTCGTCGACAATCTTTTTAACGCCTTTTACTACGCATAAGCGGGGTCCGGACCACTTAGGCAATTTATTTATATATTGAGCTAGCTCTTTTATTATTCTTACGTTATTTTCATCTTTAATTATATATAAAGTATCTATTTTTAAATCAGCACAAAATAATTCCATTTCTCTCACAGAGACCGCTCGTGTACGCTGTGATTGAGTAAATAGTTTTACATATATGGTGCGATCTGACGCCGAATACGCATAATCACCATTCTTTAAAGACACATATTTTTTAACTTTCATCCATTCTTTCTCATTCACAAATACCAATTCCGTGTAATCCTTCGGTAGTTTTAACATTTCTACAACTCTTGGGTGATCAGTCCAATCGTTTTTAGGAATATTAGCCACCGAAGTATGATTATCAGAATTTTTCTCAAGCTCCCGTCTCTTCGCTCTAGTAAGTACAGACACAATGTGTTCGTTCATCGCCCGTAATTCTTCACCAGTCACTTCTATGCGCGACAATGCATCTGCAGCTACATTATCACGCCCTTTCACATAAACCACTTTGTAATCGTACTCCTCTAGTAATAACCGAAATTTTAATAATCTACTGGAAGGATCTGTCAAGTTATACAAGTATACTAAAGGCCTATGATCCGTTTCAATAATAAATTGTCTTCCATAGAGATAAGGCCTAAAATATTTGACGGACCATACTATCGCTAACAATTCTTTTTCAATTGTAGGATATCTGCACTCGGCCTTGTTTAAACTTCGGCTGGCGTAAGCAATTGGCCTACGATCAGCATTACACAAAACTGAACCTATAGCGTACCCTGACGCATCGGTTTGAAGAATAAAAGTATTACTGTCATCAAACAAAGGATATTGTAATACCGGAGGTTTTACTAAACAGTTTTTTAACATAGAAAATGATTTCTGGCAGTTTTCATCCCAATTATAAGTTACGTTTTTACGACATAAATTGTTTAATGGTATGCAAATTTCGGCAAAATTCGGAATAAACTTCCTGTAGTAATTAGAAAATGCTACGAAACGTTTTAGTTCATCAGCGTTTTTAGGAACTGGATAGTTATTTAAAACTTTAATCTTTTCTGGATCAGGTCTTATACCATCAGCTGATACAACGTGGCCTAAATATAATATTTCTTTTCTAAGAAAATCGCACTTGTCCGGATTTAACTTCAAATTTACTTTCCTTAGCCTAGCCAAAATGTCTAATAAATTCTTATTATGTATATCTAAATTTCTTCCAAAACAAATTAAATTATCTAAATAAATAAAACACTTGTCATAATTTAGTCCTGACATCGCGACTGTCATTAAACGTGAGAAAGAACTGGGACTTGTCTTTAACCCCATCGGCATACGGGTCATCTGATACTGGCCGGAGGGTGTTGTGAACGCCGTGTACTTTCTACTGTCTGAATTTAATTTTGCCTGATAGTACGCTTGAGTTAAATCTAACTGTGAAAAATATATTGCGCCAGAGAGTGAATCTAATATATCGGTTATGTTGGGGAGGGGAAATTTATCATCCATAATGCGGTCATTTAATTTCCGAAAATCAACAACTAAACGCCAACTTTTCTTGTTATCCTCTAGTTTCTTAGGTACCAGTAGCACTGGACTAGACCACTCACTACTTGCGGGTTCTATAATACCATTGGAAAGCATTTTTTGAATCTGATTTTCAATTTCATTACGCTGTGAAAATGGCAACCGATATTGTTTAGTATAAACCGGATCCGAATTGGGTTTCAACTGAATTTCTTGTTCGTAAAGGTTACAAGTGCCTAATTTATCTCCCGGTAAGTAAAATACGTCAGCAAATTTTGCACATATGTTTTGTATACTTATGGATTCTTCTTTGTTCAAGTGTTGTAATTTTATCAACGATAATAATTTCCTAACTCTTTCGCCGCTTAAATTTTCCTTTTCGAATGCACACATATTATAATAAGATAAACGATCAAGGTCAGGTTTAAAATAACTAAGTTGAACTTCTGTTTCACGTGTATTTAAAATTTGTATTAATATCTTTCCCTCCTTGGGTTGACAGATACTTCCAGCAATAAATACACCGTCGCATAATTCTCTCGGAAATACAACGCAAGCCTCACTCTCAAAACAATGAACTTGGAAAAATTTTTCACACCTTGGTGGTACTGTAATAAATAAGTTTTTACCTAATTTCCCTAATTCTAAACTGGTTGTAACTGAACTATCGCATTCATTTATTGTCAACGTGTTATGTTCATAATTTAAAACACAATTGTACTTCTTTAAAAATTCTTGCCCAATTATACCGTCTTGAATACAAGGTAGATTCTTTAGAACATAAAACTTTTGTTTGAATTCTTTTCCACATATGGAGAATGGTATGTAAACATAACCGTCGGTGGTCGATTTGCCACCAATACCATTAATGGTAATGCATTCTGGTTGCAGAGGAATATTCCAGTCTCTAATCGTTTCATATTTCACCACTGACAAAGAGGCTCCCGTGTCAACTAACATTCTATATTTAGAATCGAATATTGACAATTCTACAAAGTTATTATAGTTACATGTTAAAATAAAGTTAGGATCGAAAAAACTCTAAATCTAAATTTTGATTGCTTGTCGACGCGCCTTGAATATCATTTCTCGACTGATCTAGCAAATAAGTATTATGCCTGTTATTGCGATTATAGTTTCCCGAATTCGTAGC